AGTGCGCTGTCCAACCACGTTGGTGTCTGTCTGCCAGGTAACATATTGTTAACGCATTGTTTGGCAATAGGTCGCATATAGCTTTCTTCAGTCACACACTGTCGAGGTCGCATACAGTCTTCTTCAGTCGCTCACTGCCCAAGTAGAGTTCATCACCTGCTGTTAAGGATGTGATAGTTTTTACGTTGCTATGAGCTGTTGTCCGTCGTGAATGTACGCTTACGTATGTACGATGGAACAACTGCGTTGTCTATTTAATTCATTCAGTTATTTCAGGAAAACTTGCAAATTGCCAGGAAAGGGGTGGTTGCTGGCAAACATAGAACGTAGCATGCTCAACAGCGAGTAATATGCCCGGATGCCCGGTGCGCACGCCAGCGAAGCAGGCCGGCTCGCCGGCGTCAGACTTCGGCCCTGTTGGTTGCCTACTGGCTCCGTCCGAGCCCCCGCCAGCGGACGGATGGACGGAGGGCTGGGTGCGGCCGGCCCGGTCGTGATGTGTTCGTGAGCCGCGAAGTCCGACCACGGTCAGGTACCGTCCGAACACATCGCCAGATGACGGCACCAAGCGCTGCCCGTGCCGTTCATGGCAGGCCGGTCGCGCTAGATCGCGCTCGTTCCGACGTGATCCCTCCCTGTCCCGACAAGGCGCAGGCCTCGGCATGTGTCACCGACAAGGCGCAGGCCTCGGCACGTGTCACCGACACAACACAATGCTGGAGCGACCGGTGGCATGGCTTGTGTGCAGACATGTGCTCGCGTTGTTTTCGGCACTATTCGGTTTTTAGATCGACACTCGGTGTGTGGCGTCGCCGCTTAAGACCGTGTCCGTTGAGCGATGTCGCTAAGTGATGACGTTCAAATAAATCAAGTGAGAGAAGCACCGCCAGCAAACTCGTGCCGCTCCGTTCGAGTTGTTGCAGTGTGTCTTGCACTGCCCGCTGGATCACGCCAATCAGTCAGAAATACATTCCTGAATTCCAAGCAACGCGTTCTCAGAAGACGACGCCTTCTTCAAAAATACAATGTATGTCTGTGTAGAAATGCTATTACAAACTGATCGGGTTGGGGCGGCCGACGGGCCGGGGAGCGGGGGCAGGCGGCCGGCGCCGGCGCTGGCGCGGCGTCCGCTCGCAGCCGGACGCGCGGCGCCCGACCACACGGGCCGCACGAGCGGCCCCCGGCACGCAGGGCCCTGGCGGCGCCGCCACCGTCGCCGTGACGCCAGCCGCCGACACGTCACGAGGAGACGAACACCATGTGCAAATAAAATCCCCTTCGAACCGTCTCGCCGACAAAATGCAGCGTACAGATAATCTAAACGCAGAAGAAAGATCAGGATCGTGCTCCGGCCTGTCGACCTCGGCAAGCGGAACCCGGGACGCGGCTAGCGAACATGCATCAGGCGGGCGTCACTGATATGTGCGATGGGCACGCCGCCACAACATCCTACACATGTTTGCGCACCGCACCGCGGCGCGGCACGTTACCTTCTCGTTATGCCAACGGGCGTATGTACAGCGGCCTTGTGTACAGCACCTTGTGCGCATGGCTGAGCCCGGCCGCCCGCCGTATCACGTCACGTATGGCGGTCGCGGGCAGGGGAAATGTGGGCCTTGGCGGCGGTGCTGCTGCAGTCGGCCGCGCCGCCCTGATATGTCGGCACCGTCGCAGGCGTCCGGCCGGCAGGCTCGCTCGCTCAATCGCCGCTGCGGCTCACGCTCGGGCACTACGTGGTCGAGCGTGTTGAGGCACTCGAGCGCCGCTCGGTACGCGAACGCCGTCGGTACATGCTGATCCTGCAGGGCGGGACCAGTCCAGTGCTGATCCTGCAGGGCGGGACCAGTCCAGTGCTGATCCTGCGAAGCGGGACCAGTCCAGTGCTGATCCTGCGGAGCGGGACTAGTCCAGTGCTGATCCTGCGGGGCGGGACCAGTCCAGTGTTGATCCTGCGGGGCGGGGCGCGCCGTTGCACCCGTTACGGAACCACACGACGGGCAACAAGTGACAATGAAGTCCACGCATGCGACTCACCGACGGATAGTCAGAACTCCTCTCAGCCGCCGAGGCCCGGTCCGTTCTGCGGACGCACCGAGGGACCGGTATCCACGGCTCCAGCGTGCTGATTACGGTTTAGCTTCAGGTGCAAGTCAGAGCATACGTCTGTTGCCTCTCTGTTCTACCGCCGCAGTCAGTGCGTTTTATGTTCACTGTTTTGCCCCGCTCAGGTGTATCGGGTCATTCTGCTATGGACCCATTGGTGCATCCATATATAATTATACTCGCGCTATCGCGATGACGTGATAAACACGGCTTTAGGGAACCAGGTGTGATCAGCACCGGAACCAGTGTCAAAGATACGCTCAGAAATATACGGACGCAAGGCACGGGGCGCTCACTGCGCGTGACGTATGAAAGCAAGTTTGGAGCCGGTACCATGCCTGACCGGAACCAGGACGGCCCGGCCGGCCGGAGACGGAGCCGCCGCCGCTCGGCGCGCGCCGCACGCACCTGGAACTCGAGCTCCATGCCGGTGATGTGTCGCCGGGTCCGGTCGGCGGAAGCAGCTGCGATGTGAAGGCCTGCAGGTTGCGTGCCGGTACCTCCGTGTTGCCGGCCACCAGCGACTCCAGCAGCGCGTCGTGGATGAAAATGTACTGGCGGCAGGGCCGTGGCTGACGTCAGCGGGGGGCCGGCCGAGCCGGCGCCCAGCACAGCACGTGACAGCCTGCACCAGCATCAGCATCAGGACAGACCTGGGTTGGCGAGCAGACCAGCCGGGGAAGATGCTGGTGACGCAGTTCGAACGGAACTTTCACTGGGCAGCCAACCGCTGGCATGACCCACCACTACATCGGAACACGGCCAACACATTCCAGAGGAAGAGTTCCGCGTTAACCCAGGAGTTCTGCCACACCCGCAGTGTCCGTCTCAGAGCGCCGCGCTCTGAGACGGAGCGCGGCCGTGTCTTCAGCCGGCGCGCACCTGGTCCTCGGTCTGCACCATGTAGTTGCGCTGGGCTCGCAGGCAAGTCACGTGACCGTAGACGTCAACCGTGGCCTCGGAGCGGATGCGCTCCAGCATGCTGTCGATGGCGATGAAGCACCTGCCGTCCGGAGGCGGCCGTCAGCGCCGTGACTCCTGCGTGGACGCGCGCGTCGCCGCACATCTGTCGCCCGACAAGCGGCGGCGGCGCGTCGCTGAACCCCAGACTTGCGAGCGCCGCCAATCCCCGCCAACGACTTGTGAATAAGATGTCACGGCTAACAAGGGCAGCCCTACAAGCAACACGGCCCGCAACGCGACCCGAGCCTCTGCCGGAGCGATGAGGCCCACCGTGGCCGGCTCGGTGCTGTCGCGGGGCTGCCGGCGGCTCAGCGGGTCGCCCACTGACCCGGTGCGGCCCACACCAGCCGAGCAGTGCGTCACCATCGGCCCGGCGTCGGCCGGGTTCAGCGCCTTGACGTGGTGCAGGAACAGCAGGAACGGCGTCGGGTGGTCGGGCACGCCGTGGTCAGGCCATGCCGTGAACTGGAACTGGCGCACCTCGCGCCGCTCCAGCGAATCGGCCTGCCGATCACGCCAGTTACACGCGGGCTCACACGGAGCCATTTATACGCGGGCTCACGCGGCGCCAGTCATGCACGGGCTCACGCGGCGTCAGTCACACGCGGGCTCACGCGGCGTCAGTCACACGCGGGCTCACGCGGCGTCAGTCACACGCGGGCTCACGCGGCGCCAGTTACACGCGGGCTCATGCGGCGCCAGTCATACGCGGGCTCACGCGGCGCCAGTCACACGCGGGCTCACGCGGGACGGCACGTACCCGTTGCAGCTGAAAGGTGCGGACCACGTAGCTGGCCAGCTCCTGACTGTCTGTGAGCGTCACGTGGATGGGCCAGTACGACTTCGTGCCCTTGGTGGGCCAGTACTGATCGCACTCGATGCGCGCCTGCTCCTCCAGGCGCGTCATCATGACGATAGTGAAGCTGCGCTGCTCCCACACCATGCGCCAGAAGTCGGAGAACGTTTCGGGCAGCGGGCCCTGCGGCACCGGCCGTGGTGCGGTCAAACACCGCGGGGTTCATACACAACCAGGTCAAACACGGCGGTATTCAGATACGGTGGGGGTCAAACACGGCGGGGTTCAAACACAGAGGGGTCAGACACGGTGGGGTGTCGACACGACCGGGTTCAGGTACGGCGGGTTCAGACAAAGCACCCCTCAGCCACCGGTGGTCTCGAAAGCACCCAGACCCCAGCCCAGCAGCGGCTGACGGCGACAGTACATACAAGCCTCACAAGGGACGACACAAATGCGTTTGAATGACTCAACGCTCACTACAGTTCCCATCATGGGTCCCATCATGTTCCCTACAGTTCCATACAGCACATGTACAGTTCCCATCATGAACAGAACGCCCAGAGCAGTGAAATGATGCCATACGACCTCGCTGAAGCCGATGTCCCCTCCCCTCCGGCGGCCGAGACGCACCTGGGTGGCGATGTAGGCATTGTGCTTGAGGTAGCCGTCGCAGAAGTTGGCGTTGATGTAGTCGCTGCCCGCCAGCCCCTCCTCCGACTGCAGCACCACGCGCGAGTGGTCGTACGCTAATATGTTAGCATATCGGTTCTTGGGCTGATTCTTGTCCAGGTTGGAGTTGAACCAGGTGAACTGCTGACCCGGCTCGATCGACTGCCGACAGAGCGATGGGAGCGGCGCGGTCAGTGGGACTCCGGACAGAATGCGACGTTCGCCCACGCGGCGGGAGGCGGCGTGTCACAGGTCGGTGACGTTTGGCCACGCGGAGGGAGGCGGCGTGTCACAAATCAGTGAAGTTCGCCCACGCGGAGGGAGGCGGCGTGTCACAGGTCGGTGACGTTCGCCCACGCGGCGGGAGGCGGCGTGTCACAGATCGGTCACGTTCGCCACGGCATGACCCCCATACCGACATGAGCCGCTCATCTCACCCCAACGCGTCCACCCGCCCCAACTCCCTCGCCGTACGAGCCGTGCAAGCCGTGCAACCCCGAGTCCCCCGGGGGTGCACCTCGTACTCCTGCGAGAACTTGCTGTTGTCGTTGGCCTTGAGCGCTTCCACGTGGTCGGCCAGCTGGCTAACGTGTACGGGTGGGTGCGGTATCATGCCGGGCGTCTGGAGGTTCTGGCGCCGGACCCTCGGCCGGGTCGGTCTGCGAGTGTCTGGCCGGCGCCGCCATGTCGCACATCGGCGGCTTCATCACGGTGGCTGGCTCTGGCGACCTCTGCAACTGGCGCCGCCTGCCACACCTGGCGCGGAAGGGGACGTCAGACAGATCTGGTCCGGTGAAGAGAACGCCAGAGAGCTCACCAATGGACAGGTCACGATCATGTTAACCAGACAACCAGGGCAGACCTAAGCCAAGGCTGAGCACAACTGCTGTGCTCTGGTCATACCGGGAAGCACGACCAGAGACCAATACAAAACGTAGGTCATTGAATGGTCAAGGCTACTTCCGTTGCCCCTGCTTCAGGTTGGTGTGATATATATCTAGTCGCAGATCGCCAGTACCGCTGGCAGCAGGCCGTGCCACCAACTCAAGCCGCTCATCACGACCCCGCCTGCGCCCCAGCCTGCAGTCGCCACGCCGCGCCCCCTTGGGCTCCGGGGCGTCCGGCTTCCCGTCCCACCGAATCACGCGCGGCAGCGGAGCGGCGACACTCGGCCCACTCACCTCCTGGCGGCGATGACGATGTACGGCACCAGGATGATGAGCAGCAACAGACCGACGGCCGTCGGACCCACCACCCAGACCAGGCTGGACGAGGAGTACGACGCGCCCGCCCGCGGCCGCTTCATGTCCAGACTGAGCAATTCTGAGTACGGACTGGACGTGAACAGGTCCTGCACGAGGTGACGGCTCCGGTCAGGTCACATGGAGTGTGGACAGGGCAGTACGGACTGGATGTGAACAGGTCCTGCACGAGGTGACGGCTCCGGTCAGGTCACGTGGAGTGTGGACAGGGCAGTTCTGAGTACGGACTGGACGCGGACGGCTACCGAAAGCCGGAGGAAGTCACGTCAGATTGACAGCAGCACAGTGGGCAGGATGAGGTGCCCGGCCGCTACAGAGGCCGACAGACGGAACTCAGCCGCACAGTCCCCCACAGACCTGACACAGACGGCACCACTGCATATGGCGGCTCAACAGCCGTGTAAAACCGGCGCTCAAGACCACGCAACAAACCGTCGGTTACCTCTTCCGGCCAAAGCCAAGAGACGTATCCGAGCCGGACAGTGTCTTGGTCACGGCGCCGTAGTCGCCAATGAGGAGTGGCACCCGCCGCCGCCTGCTTCAGCTGCCTCAGCCACACGAGCCGCACCTCCCCCCCCCCCCCCCCCCCCCACTGACCTCCGCCGGCATGTCCACGACCGCACGCACGAAGATGCGGTACTTCTTGCCCTTCTCCAGCGGCTTGTTGACGAAGCCGTCGTACTTGCGACCGTCCCCGAGCGCGAAGGTGTACGGGATGCTGCGCTGGTGGAACATGGCGGTGATGTACGGCCGGTAGTTGGGCATCAGCTCGGAGCGCTTCGCCTCCACCATCTGGCGGCGGGAGAGGCCGAGTGACCGACCGGCGTCGACGGCAGGGTGCCGACCGCGCGGCGCCTGCCACATGCGCGCTTCCGGTCGGCCGCCTGCGCTCGGCCTGCGGCTGCTGGCGAGAGCAGCGCGAGGGCGGACGTCGGCCCGGCTCGACCCTTCAGCCGCGAGCTGGGCCTGCTCGAGCCGCGCTGCCGGCTGTGAGCTCTGCGCGGCGGGCGCTGCAGCGAGGCAGCGCCCGCCGCGCCGCCGCCGCTCACCTTCTTTGTGCTGTGCGAATCCGGATGGTCCCTGACGTCGTGTTCAGGCACCACCACGACAAGGTAGTGCGAGATGGGGCCGTACTCTTCCGAGGCACGCGGCAGGATCACCATCACATTCTGGTTGCGCACGCCCAGCGGGTCGGGCTTCGCCATCGGCTGCGGCGCTGCAGAGACGCGCAGACGGCACTCAGGCCGGCCGCACAACAGACCAATCACGGCAAGGACAGCGGAAGGCGTGCGCGTCAGACACAGTCCACGCTGACAGTGATACAGTCGTCTGGCTGTGCAGGGAGGCCGGTCACCGAACGGCGGTCACATGTGCAGGTCACGTCCCTCTGACCATCGGGCTGACCTAGCGACGTACCGGCTCCACGTGACAAACGAGCACGATTGAGCGGTTGTTGGTCGTCTATCGCCAACGACAGTGACATGAACAAGCCTCCCGATCACGCCAGCGCCACAACACAGTCAGAAAAGGCTCGTGAAAGCAGCTGACTAGGCTTCCCATCTCACAATGAGGGCCATAACGTACAAGCGCCTCCGCCCCGGACGATCTGTCACCTGGGGCCGATTCTCGCGCTCTAGAACACCTCCCGTCGTCCGTCTGCCGCGCAGAGCCCCCTCACTCCTCCCACTCAGTCGGACGCGCAGCGTCGCCGCCGCCGCCGCTGCTGGCGCCTGACCTACCGGCCATCTGAGTTGTGACGCGGATCTTGGCCGGCGCGCGGTAGCCGTTGTCGTCGGGCACGGCCGTCACGTTCACCGTGTACGTGGTGAACGGCTCCAGGTCCTCGATCTGCTTGCGGCAGACGCTCCTCTTTTCGCACCGCTTGGCGTCCAGGATCAGCGAGCGCGGCTCGATGCGACGCGACTGTGTTACGCCCTCGGCATCGAGGAACTCCTTGACAGCGTCGTAGCGGATGCGGTAGTTGCGCGGGTCAAGGTGCGCCGGCCGGCGCCACGTCAGCGACATGCCGTGCGCGCGCACGTTGAGCGCGTGCAGGTTCAGCGGCACGTCGATTGGATTCACGCGCACGCGGATCAGGTCCGAGAGACGGCCCAGACCCTGGGGGCAGACACCGCGGATCAGGTCCGAGAGACGGCCCAGACCCTGGGGGCAGACACCGTGGGTCAGGTCCGAGAGACGGCCCAGACCCTGGGGGCAGACGCCGCGGGCCAGGTCCAAGACGAGTGAGGTCCAAGGACCGGGTCAGGTCTGAGTCGCTAGTCAGGTCTAGGGAGCGGGTCATGTCCAGGGAGAGGGTCAGGTTCGAGGACCAGCCCAGGCGTTTTATTTCAAAAGTGGTGTGATTTTCAATACAGTCCAACAGCAATCGTGTCGACACGGCCACATCAGACATTTGTGAGACTGCTGCTCACGGACATTCTGACGCGCATGCAATACTCGGTCTCGTACAACGGGACGAAGACAGCATGCCTTCCTGGCAAAACACGCCCCACACACTATGGGTTCTGTGCTTAACACCGAAACAAAATGAAGTGGCACCACATAGACCACCAGCACATCCCTGACCGGACTCGGAGCCGGTGGCCGGCCAGAGCTACCTGGCCAGCAGCCCCGGACGCCTCTAAGTCGCGCCCGACCCGTCGCTTACCGACTTGCTGCGCGCGGCCACCGCGATGGCGTACTGGGCGTGCTTGTCCAGGTTCTTCAGCTCAGCAGACGTGGTGATCGGCACCTTCTTGAACGACCAGGCGTCTAGGTCCGTCCCGGGCGCCATGGCGTAGAACACCTGGCGGCCGTCCGGCTTGTCACGGTCCACAGGGCGACCACGGCGGCCGACCGCCGCCGAGCGAGGACCCGACCGCCCCCGCCCGAGGACCCGACGCCCCCGTCCGAGGACCCGACCGCCCCCGCCCGAGGACCCGACCGCCCCCGTCCGAGGACCCGACCGCCCCCGCCCGAGGACCCGACCGCCCTCGCCCGAGGACCGCCGCCCCCGCCCGAGGACCCGACCGCCCCCGCCCGAGGACCCGACCGCCCCCGCCCGAGGACCCGACCGCCCCCGCCCGAGGACCCGACCGCCCCCGCCCGAGGACCCGACCGCCCCCGCCCGAGGACCCGACCGCCCCCGCCCGAGGACCCGACCGCCCCCGCCCGAGGACCCGACCGCCCCCGCCCGAGGACCCGACCGCCCCCGCCCGAGGACCCGACCGCCCCCGCCGAGGACCCGACCGCCCCCGCCCGAGGACCCGACCGCCCCCGCCCGAGGACCCGACCGCCCCCGCCCGAGGACCCGACCGCCCCCGCCCGAGGACCCGACCGCCCCCGCCCGAGGACCCGACCGCCCCCGCCCGAGGACCCGACCGCCCCGCCCGAGGACCCGACCGCCCCCGCCCGAGGACCCGACCGCCCCCGCCCGAGGGACCCGACCGCCCCCGCCCGAGGACCCGACCGCCCCCGCCCGAGGACCCGACCGCCCCCCGCCCGAGGACCCGACCGCCCCGCCCGAGGACCCGACCGCCCCGCCCGAGGACCCGACCGCCCCCGCCCGAGGACCCGACCGCCCCCGCCCGAGGACCCGACCCGCCCCCGCCCGAGGACCCGACCGCCCCCGCCCGAGGACCCGACCGCCCCCGCCCGAGGACCCGACCGCCCCCGCCCGAGGACCCGACCGCCCCGCCCGAGACCCGACCGCCCCCGCCCGAGACCCGACCGCACGGCAGCACTCTGAGGCGCCGGATAGTGTAACGACAGGCGTGCCTCCTCACCGACATACAGATGCAGATGCTTAAAGGGATTGTTCCACATTCGTCTGGGGTTTTGAACGGAAATGCTTGGAGAGCATTCGGTTTAGTTCACAGCCCTGTTATTCTCACGACATAGACCCCCGCCAGTTTCTGATCTACATGCCCGCCCGCGAGAATGTACATTACGGTGCGTTATCGTGGGGGCAAATCTCTTGGAATCAACTGAGACAAAAGTTTTTCCTTGACACACGGATTAATGATACGTTTTCAGTTCTGTCGCACCGCACCAATGTTAATATTCGTGACGCGAGAGCAATTTCTTTTTACAGGCCAAGAAAATCGTATTCGATAGTAGCGCCACCAACTTTACGCACTGGGATCTTATTCCAACAAGCCTCAAACTTGCCACTTTCTACACGACTGGCACCTGTTGAATTAAGCATGAAATGAACATCACGAAGAGCACCAGCAAAACATTGCCAAATAGCTTAGGCGACTTTTCATTAAAGGACACTAATTTTCGGTGCAACCAAATATGTATCGCGAGCAGACCGAGGTAGATTTAGGTTTGCGGTTGCTAACGCATCATTGTGATGTTGGTTTGCAATTTCTATGCTTGTTGTGTGTGCGATATGGGTTTATTCGTTTAGTTTTTCCGGTATAGAAATATTTCTTTCGAACAATTACTTGCATAAGCATGCCAAAGACTCCACGGTCGCGTAAAAAAAAAAACATTTTGTGATAAGCCACTCGGCCCCTACCGTCCCACCACTAACAGCCGACTACGGGAAAGCCTTGAGCTACATCAGGTGGCTGAGCGAATCGAAGAGGAATCTCACTAATACCATCTTCAAAACCACGACGATAGAAATTAGGGTGCTGTGGACCAACGAAACGATCCCTGTCCATGATTCAAAATACCTGACAAAATTGACCGAGAGGGATTCATATAAGCCCAACAGAGCTATCAACAAGAAATCAACGAAAGAAAGAGAGTGACGCAGCAACGCCGCCACCGCGAAATGAAGCAACCTTTTTGATGTCGCAAAATACAAGTGCAAGCCTCAGTGCAGCTTCCCATGCCCAGTTGCCTGCACAGTGTACCAGGAGGAGGTTGCCATGAAGGACCAGTGCAGGTACCGGAAGCTTACCCTGGGGTCATATGACCGGGATACGATTGTGACTAGGGAGGCTTGCGAGGCGCGGAGGATGGCCAGACAACTCCAGGGGCGTCGTGGCTCGGCCGCCATTGAGGCAGTGTCTGCTGCTGAACCTGAGTCGCCTTCCCCGTCGACTGCTGAGCCCGTGCCGCCGCTGACCTAGCGCTAGCTGCTAGTGCTGACCCCAAGCCTGCTCCGGGACCAAGTGGTCTCAGCGCTGGCGTGTCAGCTGAGAGCACGGATTCTTGCACGGTTCCGTACATGGTAGGAGGTGGCGACGAGACTGATTGTTCGTTCCTGTTGAGACCGCTGCCACTGTAGATTATGGCGTTAACGATCTAACACCGCTCTGGCGGTTGACAGCTATGGTGGCTCGCAACGGGTCGCTGCTGCTATCATCGCCTTTCAACAAGACAGCAGAGACGGACTGGGTACTTGAAATATAATATCGTAGATCGTAAGATCTGCTGCGCAAGATGCAGGGCGAGATAGGAGACGGCTCGTTAAAATGCTGAAGCAATCCATGAGTCATCCTCTACTTCGACGGCCGTGAAGACAGGAACTACATGAACCACACGGAGCCTGACGAATGCCGTCGAAAAACACGTGGTTGCCATCGCTGAGCCCGGCAGCCACTACCTGACTCATTTTACGCCCGAGTTCGGCCGCACCCTGCACTTGCTCAACGACCTACGCTCCGTGAGCCCGCAGTGCGACGGTCACACCAATGTGCTCGGCTGCGATGGCACGGTCGTCAACACCGAGACGATAGGCGACGTGTTCCGGTTGCTTGAGCTGACCACCGAGTCACCCGTAAACCGGTTCATCTGCCAGCTATACGGCAACGAGCTGAACCTCCTCCACCTACTGCTGACCTTGGACGGCACGACCGCGGGATCGATTCTTTTCTAAACCCATCGGCAAGACCTGTGCCGGAGAGGTCTGGGAGAGGGACGTTGTGGCATTCAAGCCTATACCGGGCACGTGCCAAACCTGCCGGTCGACCTGATCCAGCAGCTCGGCACCAGCTAGCAGCTGCTGTACCTTCTGGCCTCCGACGTTCAAAACGGCTCTGTCCGAAGCGTGGCAGCCCAGCGACAAATCGGAACATGGAACCACGTCAGGTAAATATGAAAACGCATTATCCCCGAATTAACAACAGGAGTGTTTAAACTGACCTCGCACCGATTGACCTTTCATGCGCTCACTTTTGAGCAGTTACTTGTTATCATACCTTGGGCCGTAGCACGTCGCATCACTTGCTCGTAGGTTCATGCTTACTAGTACATTTGTTGATACGTGTTCCGTCACATTTAAAGACTCTAGATATCGGCATAACTGCATTCAATAAACAGCTGCAACACTTTTTGTACGATTTAATGTTCAGTTCGCAACAAAATGTTCTAATATATTCACTTTTGTCTTCAGATGGTTGACACTGGCCGCTGGCCTGCTCCTAGCTTACATCCCTACCGAGACCTCCAGCAACGCTCTCCAGGACCTCGTCCAGTGCGTGGTCGGCCACTATGTGCCGGTATGGTCCGCCATCCGGCACAACAGCGGCTGCGACTTTGGCTTACGCAACTTGTCCCGAAACATCGCGGGGCTCCGCGACTTGCCGCAGCACACATAGTCATCCAGCGTAGCGGGTGCTGGGTCCGTCCGAAACAGCTGCTGCTGGACATTGTGTGGGATGAGAACCGCATGGTCCGTGAACACGCGGTTCCGATCGTCGCGCCGCTCGTGAGCAGCAAACCGAGGGTCTTCTTCAGCCCAGGGTCTTCGCCATCTCAGCGGTAAACTTCGAGGACGTGAGGTACACCGAACTGATTCCCTGGCACGGACCAGTCACACAGCCTCCAATGCGAGACGTCGGCGACTACGAGCTGCGGTACAAAGTGCAGACACCGCTGGCCATCTTGCCCTATCTGGTTCACACTAGGAGTGCGACGCAGCGCCGCACTGCCGAGGACGTCTGCGACTGGAGCTGGAGCTTCGGCAATATGTGGAGCCCAGTTGCGAAGGTATTTCTGCTACCGCGCGATCTCTGCCAACAGGCGTTTTGGGTTTCCAGTCTGTGAGCAGTTGCTGTTTGGGCCGGTGCATCGAATACGCAGGCTCGGCCGGGAGTAAGCTGTGCATGGGGGCACCCTACCCCTTCCCCTCTGTACTCACCTGGTACAAGCTGCTATATGCATTAAGTTGTACACAAACAATATATTCTGAGTCATATGCTGTGCATGGTATTGTTTGCATCACGGGAGTTGTCTTTGAGAAGTGAAAATCTAAAGCAGCACTAACGAAGATACCCGTGCGAGCTCATTCTCAACAGCACGTAGAGTTTTCGCCATACGTGAACCAATCGGCCAATGTCGGATCCGCATATTAGACCTTAGACCGAGACAATCTCGTACGACAGTCTAAGGAGCGCTCGGTAGCATCGCTTCCATACGCACTGGTATTTTGTAACACTCGCCGCCCACGGCCTGGTGTTACCTGCGGTGGCGGACGCCGCCCAGGACTGGGTGACTGCAACGCCGGGCATCAGTTTACAGCGATATTTTGGTCGTCTCGCGCGTCACGAAATTAAGTTTTTGATAATAACTTTTGCTACGTCGTGTACTTTTGGACCCCTGCGCGAAAACTTCTTTGTCTCACTTGGTTTTGTTACTGATGACACCCTAATGTACATACTACTTCGTGCCAACTATTTCAAGATTGCCAAGCTATCCTTGACGGCACAGTGTCATTCAAATCCTGCCATTCAACTGGCCACGCGGCGTTCAAGGTCAAGCAAATATAATTGTCGAGCCATTCACATGTAACACTCGTGAGTGCGCTTGCCAGATATAACGGCCGTCAACTGGCTCTCACTCAATGTTGTGTAAGGGAGAGCCAGGTCGAGGATCCCTGCAGGGGCCGCTCGGCCAACACGCGACTGATGTATGCACCCTGCCCCGGACAAGCGGGGCATTGCGAGCATGCAAGATGATGTAAGAAATACGATAAGACGATAAGAGGGTCGGTCGGATATTCTTCACGAATTACGTTTTGTGCTGAGAAATACAAGAAGTCATGCATCCTGCCTATTTAGTGCGGAAAAAGACCTGTAATCGACAAACTTAAGAAAAGCGCTATAGCCGAGAGGTCAATAAAGTACACAGCTTAGAATCACGGAAAACAATATGCCAGAACACCAGCAAGGGCCAAAACACGAGCACGCTATTTGTCATGTCGCGAGTCCCGTCGTAACGATATTTGGTTCAGCACACAGCCATCATCACCACCCGGGAGGCTAACTGCCGGGGGATTGAAGAACTAGTGAGTGCCGTCACACAAGCGTTTCATGACGTAATCAAAAGGTGATCTATCGATGAGCATCTTTACAAAAAAGAAGCTTTGTTGCCTAGAGCAGTCTTTTCCAATTAAAAACATAACGAGAGTAATACATGAGCTTATTTCATCAAATCTGATGCTTGATTCCATATCTTCCAATGTGGAATATTCCCTTTACGGACAGCAAACAGGAGATGGACAGGACGTATGGCATCGGAGACGAAGCGAACGCTTGCGATGAGCCGCGGCCCCACCCCACCAACAGACATACCCGCCCGCCACATGACGCTCGCGCCGGTTGGGCGGCCGCGGCGTGGCGCCGTCTCGGCCCCGGGTCTCGCCTACTGACCTGGTATCCGACGATCTGTGTGGCGGTGTGCACGTGCTCCCACCACACCTCGACGCTTGAGAAGCTGGTGGCCATGGCGCGCAGGTTGATGGGCGGCCGCACCAGGTCACTCTCGGTGCTGACCGAGAAGGGCGCACTCCACGGCCCGGCGCCCACCGACGTGTTGGCGCGCGCCCGGAACACGTACGCCGTGCTCTCCTCCAGCTTGGTGAACACCACCTGCACGGCACACGGCGGCCTGACGGGCAGCACGACTGCGCGCCGAGGAGAGCGCGCCGCCATCGCTCGCAACGCTACCGTACGTCACGGTACACCGAACACCTGACGATTAAAACAAAGGCGTTCTTTGATCACCGCGGCCGCCAACGAGGCCCCGCACGAAAAGGGTCCATACTTATCTGACAGTGTGAGAGCAGTGCTGGACTAGCTCTCAAGCACTGAAGTTCAGTTTGTTATACCAGCCGGAGTCGGCCTAATGCGTCGGCCTCTGCCAGCCATGCCAGGACAGGGAAGAGATGGGAGGCACGCACGGGACCGGATGTCGCAAACCTTGGTGTCGTTGGGGTGCATCCGCTCCACGTGGTCAAGGTTGCCCTCCTTGTGGAGCTGCACACTGTAGCCGGTGATCTTGCCGTTTCGCTGGTCCGATCGCGGCGGATCCCAGGTGAACGCCACCCGATCGGTCGCCTGAAATCTGGCGACACACCGCCGGCGGGCGCGGTCAGTCCGACATCGCCCGCCGGAGGGCACGTCATCACCCGTCGGAGAGCATGGTCAGTACGACATCACCCGCCGGAGGGCACATCACCCGCCGGAGGGCACGACATCGCCCGCCGGAGGGCACCACATCACCCGCAGGAGGGCACGGTCAGTCCGACATCGCCCGCCGAAAAACTAGCACCAGCAGCACCTGTGGCAAACGCGTCGTCATCCGCAAACCCGTGTCCCGGTTTTACTTATGGCCGACAGCCGCGTGCTCCCCCGTGCGTGACAACGGATCAGGCACGTCGAGAGGTCCGAATGGAGGCCGCCAGGATGAGCTTTTAATTACGTGGACACGGCACAGCAAAGCCCGCTCCCATTCTAGCCGCAATACCTGCAGCGATCTGTTCGCCCAATGCAAATGTGGCCTAAACCCGTTTTATCTGTTTGTGAACCTGTGAACCTGTGAGCCTGTTTTACCCTTTTATATGACCCGTTTTACTATTGTTTTATCTCATTTTTTCATTTCATCGGAGCATTTAGGTGGCATGGGTTTCTGGCGTCCGTAAGTTCACGCTAAACAGCCCATGTTCTGTGAACCTTGGTCTCACCAGGCGATCGTAAAGTTTCAGGTCAAAGGCAGAATTCTGTGCGGAAGTTTGGCGTGTCACAATCCTCGGCACAGTCCACTGCGCCCTATAGCCTCATGTGACCTTGGGCGGCCGCTACCACCGACCGCAAGTCATCCCAGCCAAGGGTCAATAGCGAGAGCGGAAGCGACTCGAGTAAATCATTATTGCGCGGAAGACCACACGAGACAAGGTACCAAGATCGCATTACATTCCTCACTAAGCGCAAAATCCGCTGGCGCCAACAACGATTGGTACATTGGCAAATTAGGCGCGTTTTGGAGCCGAAAGCACACAATGGTCCGAAATGCCCCCAAAGCGGGCATAGCCGCAGAATAACAAATACTATATGTAAGAATGTATTTTATCATCTCCGAACAATTGTCGCTGACATCCTGTAGTTTTGTAGCAACAACATACAATAAATGGCTAAAAAGGCATCCAGAATGTTAAGGAGTACAATTCTGCGCAAAAGCTAGAGAAAACAATCGTAGGACATCAATAGATTCATTGATTACATTATATGAAATGCATGAACCCAGAAAAAACCACAGGGTGCTACTGTTGTGTCTTGGTGTTTTAGGGCGCGCCGACTGCAATGGTCATTTTGTGCCCATTTCAGAAATGTATTGGTCGTTTGGTCAAATTTGGTCATTGAAAAGGGCAAATTTGTTTACTTCCTGCCCTTCCTCCCCCACAGCCCACAGCACCATGTTTCCTGGCGGCTAAGCTGGCCAGGTACTGAGTCGCCACTGCTGGCGCGTCGGCAGCGGCGCCCCGCCCGGCCGCCACCCACCTGAACGTGACGTTGGTGACGGGGCCGGACGGCGCGCCCTCGCTCGCGTTGTACGTGATGATCTGCTCCTGGCCGTGGCCGACGTCGTTCCGGCCGCTCACGCGAAACTCGTACTCGACGCCACGTTCTGCCGGCCGGCCGCGACGGCTCAGCTCGGGCCAGCCAACCGACTCAGGTCTGACTCACGGCAGGAATTACGGCCGGACTCATGACAGGACTCACTACAGAAACCACGACAGTACGTACGGCGGGACTCATGACAGGACTCATCACAGGAACCACGACAGTACTTACGGCGGGACTCATGACAGGACTCACTGCAGGAGCCACGACAGTACTTACGGCGGGACTCAAGACACGACTCACTGCAGGAGCCACGACAGTACTTACGGCGGCACTCATGACAGGACTCACTGTAAGAGCCACGACAGTACTTACGGCGGCACTCATGACAGGACTCACTACAGGAACCACGACAGTACTCACGGCGGGACTCATGACAGGACTCACTACAGGAACCACGACAGTACTTACGCCGGGACTCAGGACTCGGCGGGCACGTGTCCGGTACACGGCGGTGCGAGAAGGGCGCACGACAGCGCGTTGCCAGCTACGCCACCGGAAGCGCGCGCGTGCATGCGTGTGCGCGTGCGTACGCGGACACACGCACCCACCAACACCCACACCCACACCCCCACACCCACACCCACACCCACACTCACACTCACACTCACGCTCACACCCACACCCACCCACGAGGGCGGTGGCGGTTCGGGGCGGAGAGGAGACATGCGAATTGGCCGTTCGAGGGCAGACTAACCCAGGCCGCTGAGCCGTTTGTACTGGGTCGTGTTTCCGGCGATGGTGACCTCCCTGAGCCTGGCGGCGTCGCCCGTCCGGCCGTTAGCGCAGCCGGTAGCCGAGTAACACACCGTGCGTCTCGGTCGGGCGAGACCACTCCACGTCCAGCGTCACCCGCTCCTCCTCCTTGATCACTCTGCCGGACACGTGCGCATCGGTCAGTCCCTGACGAGCTGGCGCCCACTGTCGGTCCACACTCTTCCGGCTTTCAGCATTTCCCTGAAGCACCACGACCACAGTACTCATCAACACAGTGCTCATTACAGTACTCATCAGCACAGTACTAATTACAGTACTCACCAACACAGTACTCATTACAGTACTCATCAACACAGTACTCATTACAGCACTCACCAACACAGTACTCATTACAGTACTCACCAACACAGTACTCATTACAGTACCCATCAAGACAGCACTCATTGCAGTACTCATCAACCGTGGTCAGGGCGCACGATTTCAGCCAGGGACGTCTCGCCGCCGCCAAGAGCCGGTCCGGTGCAGCGCACACTGCGGGCGCCGCTCGCACCGCAGCCACTCACTTGATGTGCACGTCGGGCTGGCTGGGCACGCTGCCCTGTGTGGTGGCGCGCGCCGCGTCGCTGCGCGAGCCGTCCCCCTTGCGAGTGAGTGCCGACACCTGGCGGCGGCGCATCGACACAGGTCAGGCTCGCCGACACGGCCGCAGGCGTCAGACGACGGTCGGCCGCGCCCAAGGAGAGCACCGCACGGAGCGACCAGAGCACACCACAGGCACCGGTCGGCCATCACCCCAACTGGTGGCCAGCTTACAGAGTAGACTGCGACGACCCAGGCAGCGCATGTAGCTTGCTTTCGTTGCAAGGCCAGCAGCGCTGTCCGCGCACCACGTCAACACCGACACCGACAAGCCTGCGTGCGCTCGCATGACACCGCACGACCACGCCACCCCACCCAACAGCCCACCCAACACCACGCCCACCCAACAGCCGCCGGAGCATCCACCCCCTTCTCCCGGCGATATCTCATGTCTCTCGCCGCCACCTCTCCCACCAGCCGACCAAGGCCCGGGGCGAACAGAGGCGTGGGACAGAGCCCGGCGGCCGGCGCGTCCACCCACCCGGAACAGGTAGGAGGTGCTGGGCTGCAGGTCGGCCGCCGTGTAGTCGGCCGCCTCGCCGTCGCGGATCTCGTAGCGTCGCGGCCGGGACGAGCGGCCGTTGCCCTGCCGAGCGGCGCGGCACAGGCGTCAGGCGGGCGCCAGGCGGACGGCCGCCCAGCAGGACCAGGCTGGCACACGGTGACGTGGTCGGTGACGTCATCCGTGCCACATCCTCAGATCGCGCAAACGCTCCAAATTCTTTTTCATTCCGTAAGTTCTTCAGTGCATCACAGAGGAACATTAGTCACATAGATAATGCAGTAGTATGAGCCTCGTTCCTCCGAAAAACCAGGAAAAAACATTGGTAAAAATCAAAACTGGGCGTACGCGTAGCTTGGAAAAACAACAAGCTTAAAAAGTCTGTGGTGAAATCTTCCATCTCGAAGCCAAAGTCCCCGGGTGGCAACAGATGCCATGTGTGCAGTTCTGAGCTCCGAGGGGTTTGCACGCAAAAAAACGTGGTTTACGAAATCAAGTGTGCGCTTTGTGAAAAACATGGGAGGGACATAGTGTATGCCGAGGAGTCCATGCGCCCTATTCGTTTGAGATATAATGAACACTTGCGAGGCGCTAAAACCAAAACAGGGAATACCCCTTTCGGTGACTACTTTTTGGCAAAACACGCTCAGGCTGAAATCGAGGGAAGTGTGGACCCTATCCCTCTTTTAGAGCTCAAAGTCATCTACAGAACACAGGACCACCCAGACAGGAAAATAAGTGAATTTATTCTTATAAAAAGTCGGCGACCAAATCTTAGCATACAGGGCCCACCATGGCCGATTATGCGAGTGTGATACGTGCCTTTATGTGTGATGTGTGCTAGCTTAAAATCGTTTACATGTGTAAGTGATGCCTGTCGCGCGATGCGCGCTGCCTGTTCAATTGAAATCGTTTGCGCGCATAATTGTTGCGCGATGTTTGATGCCTGTTTACTTCAACTTGCTTACATGTTCAAATAAAGCGTGACGCGTGATGTCTATTTGCTTCAAGTCGCCTGCATGTACACGTATGTTCGGGCATTCTAATTCTCAGGTAGGCACGGTACCTTGGTAATGGCTGCCAATCGCTCTTTGTTTATTCCCCTGAATGTTGGTGTCCAGCAAAAACTGTGGCTTACTCTTTCAACAACAACAAAAAAAAACCTGAAAAATCGAGTAGGAACATCGGCAGGCAATTTTGAATGCCTGTCTTGTATTGTTTCAATAAAGGCAGGTTGCCGAAATATCAACCAACTATATCTCTATTCTCCTGGTTTTTCCGAGGAATCGGCTAATACTACTGTCCAATTTTTCATTCCTGTGTGTGTGTAACTAGTTCTGGCATAGTGTTTTTTTCACGTGACACGCACAGAGAAAACCCATGTCTAGGATATTTAATTTCTAAGGCGAGCTTGCCGATGCTCACACGCTCTCCGGGCACATTTCTTGAGTCGTGAAGGTGTTTGCTGCTGAAAATAACACCAAGCTCGTCTTCGTTCAATATCGTTGACCACGTATTTAATAGTCTGGTGTCTTTGTTCTGAACCTCTAATTTTGTCACAGTATATACCTTGAACTACCATATAAACATGCGCATTTTACAGAATGAAGGGCATAAAGCATGATCTTAAGTCCAATATCAAAGCACTCGGCCGCACTTGGGTGCGGCCCCACTTCCGCCGCTGGCCCGGGCCTGGGCCCTAGCCGGCCGGTGACTGGCGCCGGTGCTAGACCAGGCCGGCTGCCGGTCGGACCGCCTCACCTCAGTGCCTAGCTCTTGCACGAGGACCTGGTACCCGAGGATCAGGCCGTTGCGCTCGCGGTCCGTGGGTAGTGACCAGGTGAGCCGGACGGCCGTCGAGTTCAGCACGCGGGCGGTCAGGTTGCGCGGCTTGCCCGGCACTGTAGGAGCGGCGCTCAGCTCAGTCCGGCCGCCAGCCCCGCACACACACAGCACGCCCAACACCGGCCACGCGGCCACTGCCGCTAACCAAGCGCTGCCACAGCGCCGCCGCACACGGCGCCTGCCTAATCACTCACAAGCAGAGGAGATGGGAGCCGACGTTACGTTAGCAAGGAACAGTGTCTGTACAGCGCGGCTCACTGGCCGAGGACCAGCCCGCCTGGGTTATGAGAAGAACGCCATGGCAAACGCGAACACGACACCCAGCTATCTATATGGCGACAGACGCGCTCGAGTCATTGTTTGAACAGAGACAAATAGAGCGACATAGAGCATGCCAAGTGGGTATTGCGAATTGACAGCCGGCGCGGTGACCTGTTGGCGTGGGCTAACCGCGACTCCGCTGACTTGTGTGCTCGCCCCATTCTCCACCGCTCCTCCCCCAGGCTCCGACCCCTCCCCGGAGGCGGTAGGGGGAAACTGTTACCAGTGCCAAAGGTCTGCTTCACGGCATCCATGGACACCGCATCGAACCGCTACCACCTACGCAAGGTGATGAGGGAAAACGTCCAGGGCCGAGCTCGGCCATGCAAACGGCTAACGACAACGGTTGGCGGCCGAATCTGGCGGCATTCATGTCCGGACTGGCCGAGCTGGCGGCCACAGAGTCTTCAGTACTCACTGCCGGCCTTTCAGAGATGGAGGACCACGCACAGTCACGGGAGGAGGGGAGAGAGAAACAGAGAAAGAGAGGCCAGATATCAAATCACCGCACACCATGTTGACCAAAAAACACACGACAAGCAAAAGTTACCCGGCCCTCGATGAGCGCACAATAGGTCGGGGGGCGCATCGGTGCCCTAAAATAGTGGCGGGATGTCACAATTGGTGACGACTGAGAGCTACAGACCAGAAGGCCCTGTGAAAGAAGACCATGCACAAGGAGTGTCAAGTGATGCCTACGACAGGCCTACTGAAGAAACAGAGCAAACCCCTCCAGATACGTCAACCAGAGCGCAAGCACGCTGCTGATGCACAAATCAATTGATGTCGTTAGAACGGCCGTTTCGGCCCTTATCGCATGCTTCATGAGGCTTCCTTCACGTCTCTATGATCTAAGTGACCCCCCGCCTGAACACTCTACACCTTTGCTACAGCCCATAGCCCTTCTTGAAGACGGCTAATGCTTGGTAACACTTCTGACAGCGCCCAGATCACACACCGCACACCTTTGGGCACTGTCTCAATTCCGGGGCTCTTCTGCGTGACGAGGCATGGGAGGCGTCCGCCACACAGAACGCACAGCCAGTTATCCCGGCCGCCTCGTGTTCAGCAGGCCCCCAAGCACCATGGCACGGCCCATGGCTACATTTTCTCGGCAAACAGCAGCGGTAGCAAACCCTGTTTGCCATGGCTTGGACTGGCCACAGCGCCCGACGGCGCCGCGTCAGAAATGATGGTTGGCAACACGGAAGTTGGCATTCTAGCCGGTCAGGTCGACCAAGCGCACACGGCCACGGCCGCCTGGAATCAAGCGGTGGCGAATCTGGGGTGTGAACACGTCCGCATCGGCCAGCCCAACGCAATGTATCGCTAGGCGACAAGCCGAGTGTCACCGGCACACACAACATGAAGTGTTATGAATGAGGAATCTCTAGCCCCCGCAAAACGGGTGCCACGTTTTCATCTCAGTTTTAAGGGGGTCTGCTGTTTCGAGCAGTACCTTTTGGTTCACCTTCACCTGACCGGAGCCGGCTTTTTTTTGGCGTGTCTGAAGCTAAAAAACGACTCCGACCGTCCTCATGAGTTAATTTGACGTCTTGCCCAGTGCGCGTGCTCTAACCCCTCCCAGCCCACTCCTCGGCTGGAAAGAGTACCTATTTACGATTGCGTGCTGGAAATGTGCAATACAACTGTGCGCTAGGTCACAAGGAGTTGCTAGTGACAGATAAAGAGACAGAACACCAATAGGAGTGAGAAAAAAAACATCTCAGTCCGCACCCGGATCCGTGATGCTTCATAGAAAGGTTCATGATGACATACCGTCTTAAACGCAGTTTGACCAAATACCAGCAGTTCATTCCCAACACAGTACATATCATATTTCCTTTAAAGTCGCCTGGAAATATATTAGAGCTCCAGACCTTCCCCTGCGAGGCACTGGGTGAGTTTGGTGTTTTTAGCAATGAGCAATGTTTCCTGGCACAATAACCGAAGGAACGATCCGCTCGTAGTCCAATGACTCGGGACGATTGCCGCCAGTGGTGCCCGTCCTCCGGCCACGCCGGCCACGGGGGCCTGGTCACACATTACTGGCCCATTGCTCTACTACAGAGGGCTGATGCAATACGAATTGTCAAGACTGCGTCGGAGCGTTTTAAAATGAAACGAAGCCTGATATGCTGAGACCGGCGGGGCTACCGCGGGCACCTGCGAGGCCAGCCCATCAAGAACGGTTGGCACCCCGCTGTCTCGCAGCGCCGGGGTTCACCACGCATAACGCCACACTGCCATTAAGCAGTTCGGTGCGACAATTAACATTGACAATGACAAATTTCGTCATTCCCTCGCAGAATTATGCTCCTGGCCTTTGCCTGGATATTTACCATGGTAACGTCCAATAGCGTTCGATTCTGGTTGAAACGTAAATAAATAAACTCTGCATTTTAACTGTCCCACGAAGAGTAAAAGTTATCTCTTCAAAGTAGAACACCTGAAATATTGTAACTTATGCACTTTGCCTTCAACAGTGCAGCTATAACCGAAAATGTTATCGCAATGAAATCATCCTTGCGTGTTATTCCCCACCATGGGTGCATGCCAACAACACAAAGTTGCAGAATAGTAGCGTAAAGAGACAACTCACGAACAAAAGAAAGTTCAAGTACATTTGGTGTTCAATATACCAAAATGAGCCAAAACAGTATTCCGCAGCTTTCTACGTGTTGAACCAAAGCACGTTTTCCAAGAAGCGCAGCCTCTTTCGCAGCAAGTGCATATGCTCCATCTGAGGTTGAAACACAGCGACAATCGTTTAACAACCCATTAGTATGTCTATTGGTTACACAATACATGTATCGAAGGCCATAAAAACTCGACAATACACGCCAATAATGTCACCTATACCCAACCCTGTTAAAGATCCACCTTCCTGAAACACCTTTCGCATGGGAAAACCAATGCCTCGGCTGCAAACCGATCACTCTCCCTTGAACCCCGCAGAGTCCTCGCCTCTAGGGGACACAGCCCGAGCCATGCCAGCCAACTCCCCTCAAAACTCCGACGACACAACGGCTGCTCATCACCGGGCGCCTAACAGTCCCTACACAGCCGGCCCCGGCCGAAGCACCCCCACGCAGCTCGGCGTCCCCCTCCAGCAAGCCCCCGCCGTCTAGCCGCCCCCTCCGGCTGGCCCCTACCCCTCCCCCCACCCCCCTCCCCCTCCCCCTCCCCGGCTGCGCGTCACCCCCACGTACCGTCGTCTTCGGTGCGTGCCAGGAAAGGGTGGCTCTGCGGCCCGTCGCCCACCAGCGTGCCGGCCAGCACACTGATGGAATACTCGGTGTACTTGCGCAGCTCGTCCACCGTGAAGTTGCGATGCGACGGGTCTTTCAGCTTGATCTCAACCGCGTCCGAGTCGTCCTGGCCAGAGCGCTTCAAGAAGATCTTGTAGTAGCGGATGACACCGTTCTGCAGGTCCGCCGACGGCGGCAGCCAGGAGACCAGCAGCGAGCGCGAGTCCAGCGCGCGCACGCGCACCGCCCGCGGCGCCCCGCCCGGCACTGCGGCACCACAGCACAATGCGCATGCGCACCAGCCATCGCCCGCCGGCGACTCCGAGCGGCGCGTCCAACTCAACAACCAAAAGACAGCGAACTCGCGTGCGTCGAAATCAAACGGCACGCCATGTTGAACGGAACGGCAGACGGAGCAGTCGGGCGGCCGCGCGGCGCTGGTTCGGCCATCGTCCGAGAGATGGCACCAGCGCGGCGGCCTGAGCTGAGCCAGCAAGCAGCACCGACGAAACTCTACCAGAACTCTACGGACGGGCAAAATGTCGCCTCACTTGCGCAAATTTCGGTTTGGGAATTTCTAGTCCCCGCATCTCTGTCCACCGCCTGTCGGGGACGAACATGTTCTGATTCTCTCGCCGCCTCGGGCGATGGTGGGTCTCCTGGCCGACGAGCGACGCGGGGTGACCAGGCACAATGACAGGAAAAGCGGGATCGTTTAGCGCTCTTTTAAAAAACTGAAAGGCCAGCCAATGGTGCTGGGACGGTGCTCACAGACGCCAAGACCGAAGACGGTGGTCAGTGAGCGTGGCGTCTGACAGTGGGGGGACCGGTACGGACAGGGACGCAGACATCCTTTTCGCAACATCCTGAGGTACGGCCGCACGTTTCCCGAAATGCTCCAAAGCGCCCGCAAAAAACAGGAATGTCATCCTAGTGGCTAGTGTTAGTAGCTAGTTCCAGTGGTTTCAGACGGTTTTCAGTGGTTGCCCCTCCCCCCCCCCCCCCCACACACGAAGCCGGGCTCCAAAAGCGCAAGATGCTTTGGCCCAACGAAGCTTTAGTTCAGGAAATTTCTTAAGATGGGATATAAATAAAGGAACGAAACGATGCCGGGCGATATCAAGACGCTTTCGGAAAATCTCCCCGATCAATTTTGAGTCGCCGCCACGACCACCCGACCAGCTCCCAGCTCATCAATGAAGCGGATTTGATTCATGCTGCAGCGGCCTGCGCCCCCCCCCCCCCCCCCCCCCCCCCGAACCCCGTACCAGCCGGCCCGGCCGGCGGAGGCCGCGAGCCGGCGCAGCCGGAGCACGCCAGTCAAACATCCGTACGGAAAGCAGCCAGAACTGTACGTGAGACGGCGATCGGACGCCCGTCACTGACAGGCACGACGTGAGGTCCGATGTATATATATATATATATATATATATATATATATATATATATATATATATATATATGCATATATATAAAAGTGGAGTATAAAGTGAGACTACTGTGCACGCAAAACAACAACATGGTGTGAGTGCACGGTGCTGATCATTCCGCGGTGCTCGAATACAAAGCCAAAGTACCGGCCCCAGACAATTACCATACTCCTCGGTGCGGAACGGGATGGCCGGCGTGGCAGCACCCTCGCCTCTGCCAGAGACGGCCGCCACCCACACGTAGTACAGCGTGTTCGGGTACAGGTCCTTCATCTCGTAGCGCTCGTGCAGCGGCACCACCATGCGCCGCTCCACCTGCGGAGGTCGGGTCAAACGAGGTGAGGCTCGGTGGCCGGCCGCCGTCCGCCGCGGCCGGGCGGAGCCACCAGACCCCATGCGGCTGCCACCACTGGCAGCGCAAGCGGCTGTGCCGAGCCCAGCCAGCCGCGAGCGGAGGGTGGCGCCGCGTCACCCCGGTTCTTTCCCTGGCGCGGCGGTTGATGACGTGAGCTGATGTGGACGTAGCACCGGCCCCAGCTGAGCACTGCTGATAATGTGAGCTGATGCGGACATAGCACCGGCTCCAGCTGAGCATTGCTGATAATGTGAGCTGATGCGGACATAGCACCGGCTCCAGCTGAGCACTGCTGATAATGTGAGCTGATGCGGACATAGCACCGGCTCCAGCTGAGCATTGCTGGTAACGTGAGCTGATGCGGACATAGCACCGGCTCCAGCTGAGCATTGCTGGTAACGTGAGCTGATGCGGACATAGCACCGGCTCCAGCTGAGCGATGCTGGTAACGTGAGCTGATGCGGACATAGCACCGGCTCCAGCTGAGCACTGCTGGTAGCGTGAGCTGATACGGACATAGCACCGGCTCCAGCTGAGCACTGCTGGTAACGTGAGCTGATGCGGACATAGCACCGGCTCCAGCTGAGCACTGCTGGCAACGTGAGCTGATGCGGACATAGCACCGGCTCCAGCTGAGCACTGCTGATAATGTGAGCTGATGCGGACATAGCACCGACTCCAGCTGAGCACTGCTGGTAATGTGAGCTGATGCGGACATAGCACCGGCTCCAGCTGAGCATTGCTGGTAACGTGAGCTGATGCGGACATAGCACCGGCTCCAGCTGATCACTGCTGGTAATATGAACTGATGCGGACATAGCACCGACTCCAGCTGAGCACTGCCGGCATCCGGCGGCCTGGGATTTAAATATGACGACACCATATCGCGGTGACGTGATTCAAATAAACACACAGATCTGTGCAGCTCACAAGTGCTGCCCTGTCCGCCCAGCAGCAGCACGGAGGGACCGATTACACGTCCCGATGCCGCTCACGGCGAATCTAGTGGAAGGGAACGACCGCAAGATCGCAGCACCTCCCTCCCAGTTTGGCTTCCGGGAAAATCGGAGACCGGAGCTACGTCCGCCTCGATGCATGTGATGAGGCGGGTCTGGCCTCCCTGTCCACCTGGGCCATCCCGCCCGGCCGTGCTGCCATATCCCCTCGCCAGTCATCTCCAGCTCCCGCTGTCTGTCAGCCGGCAGTGGGCTCGGCCCAGCCCACCAGAGCAATGAGCACAAGTGTGCAGCACGGCTGCATTGATGCGCAATGCGCGCCAAAGAAACGGGAAAGAATCCCCCCCCCCCCCCCCTAACGGCTGATCGCAAGACTTCCATGACAAATAAATTGGCGTTTGTGATATTTTCGCTGCCTTCATATGTGAGCTTAGAGTGAATACACACGATGACGTCACGAATAAGCTTTTGCCGCAACTCATTTGATTTAGAATGAACTGACCTATGCTCACCAAAAGACTGGCATATGTGATTTCTTCTCCTGCCTTCATATGTGATGTTCACCAATCGTTTGAGAAACATTTCGCATCTCTGACCAGAGCATGTTTGGAACTTTCCACGGATCTTGTAGTGCACAAATAAAGGACGCATGGACGCGACGGCCGTGTGGCACCCAGCTCCGTGCTATCACCGGAGCGTGCCATCATCGGAGCGTACCATCACAGGAGCATGCCATCACCGGAACGTACCATGACAGGAGCGTGCCACCATCGGAGCTACCATCACAGGAGCGTTCCATCATCGGAGCGTACCATCACCGGAGCATGCCATCATCGGAGCGTACCATCACAGGAGCATGCCATCACCGGAACGTGCCATGACAGGAGCGTGCCACCATCGGAGCTACCATCACAGGAGCGTTCCATCATCGGAGAGTACCATCACTGGAGCATGCCATCATCGGAGCGTACCATCACAGGAGCGTGCCATCACCGGAGCTACCATCACAGCAGCATGCCATCACCAGAGCGTGCCAGCGACGATGGCGTCGAGCGACAGCTGCCCGGCCGGGCCGGCGGCGGGCGGCGGTGGCCGTCGCCGGCGCGCCGGCGCGTGCGTCACTGCCGCCCGTCCTGCCGTCCGTGTCACCGCCTCTCGAGAGCCGTCCTGTCGCGCCCAGCTGACCCAGAGGGTGCTCGTCCTCGCCGGCGTGTCGTCGTCGCCGCACTCCACCGCTAGGCGGCCGGTCGACAGCGCCAAGTGCCCGGGACCACGCCCGGGAGATAACGTGGCGCGCGCCTTTCAGCACCACGCTTCCAACACACGGCGAGCAGAGCGTGCGATGAGGACGTTACGATGCCAGCCGAAAGCCTGCACAACTCCAAGCTCCGCGGAGGCGCCGAAAGGACGGGCCGAAGAGCTCGGTCCACCGCGCCTCCGATCACAGAGTGACAGCATTCGCCAAAAAGCGCACATGCGCTGGGTCTGTGCATCTCAGCGTTCCACGATGGAAAAATAACTCGCCAAGTACGTAACACAACGCTAAAATTTCAAATATGCTTGAAGGAAGCTTTTGAACGCATGGCCACCGGTGGAGTGAAGGCATTCCATGCCATTTCCAGAAATAACTAAAAAACTGTTCCAGATGGGTCCACCAACTTTTTAACGCACGCCAAACATCAGCTGGACACGCTTCAGCAGGATGTTGATGTCGCTGCTATGTCGGGCCAGTGAGGCATGACAAAAGCTAAGGTTTACATGGCTGGCTGCGCTTCTACAAGCAGCCAAGCAGCTAATTTATCCGACACAACTAACAGATCATGGGCTAATGCTCCAATGCGCACCTCCAGACGGTCGTGGGTTATCATCTATCCCCAGACAGTACCTGAATATCTCTTACGCGGGTCACACACGGGTTTCGTCGTATGGGAGAGCGGAGGCGGGCAAACACCTCCGTGGCTTTTGACAAACACGCCACGTCTCTGGCATCACATGGAAAAAACCGCCTTAAAACAAGTCGATTTTTCCCCAACTGTTACCTCGTGCTAGATCCCCTGAAGTATTTGTGGTCACATGTTGACGCCTGCAATGGAATGCATATGAGGCAAAACGGATTAATCAGAATTTGTGCTATCAGCGGCATGGAAGAGTGAGGAGAGGCTATGACTGACTGTCAGGCTGTTGTCGGCCGACCCCGTCAACAAATGAGCAGCTGCCTCCGCCGGACTTCTGCCAAAGTTGGTCGGCCGAGCGGCGGGCCCAGCGGCCAAGAACGCGAGTCGTCGAGCCCAGTTGCTCAGCTGAGGGAGCAGCCTGCCTCCGGCGCTCCCGGCGTCGCGCCGCCCCTCCCGGGAGTTCCCGGCGCTCCGGAAAACACTGCCGTCAGGCCGAACCCGACCGCCTCTTCAACCGGCCCACCCGGCCGGTCGGCTCTCGTCGGCACCGGCGCGACGCAGCCGGAGGCAAAACACGCCTATCGCCTTCAGTCAGATCGATCACGGCGAGCCATCGGCCGCAAACTTAGGACCCGGACAGCCGAGCCGCGCTCGCAAAACTGACACAGGAACGCCGACCAACTGGCACCAACTCAAACGGCGTCCGTGCGCGGCGCCGGGGGACCGACGGCGGCCCGGCGAGGCGGCGGCGGCTCAAAGCGAGGCCCCGCCGCATTACCGGATGAGCGTCGTCACCGTAAACTAAAGCGGCGGCGAGAGGAGACGCCGCTGATGCGCCGGAGCCGAGCCGTCTGAGCCGGAGGGCGCCGCAGGCGGGCCGCACCACGCCGCCGCGGCCCGCTTGCCGCCAATACACGGCCGACCCGTGACGGACGGCGCCGGGCCACGAGCGCGGCCGAGCGGCAGCAGCCACTCCGCGGCAGAGGTGGGCGACGGCCGACCGGGCGGCGGCGTCGGGACACAAGTACACAGCGGCACGGACACAGGCGAGACAGCAGTATGGACAGAGAAGTTGATGTTGTCTCGCTCGCCAACCAGCCAGTCAGCCAGCCACATACACACGCTGCAGAGATAGATACGGGACAGCATCATTAACACAGAAGAGGATGACACCGGCACAGACGAGACAGCAGCATTTGACACAGAAGGTACGGAAGCACTGACATACACCAAACCCGACACAGACACAGACGGGACCGAGATACCGGCACCCATTACATAGCAGCACCGACACACCGGCCTCGGCCGAACAGCGACACCGACACAGACGGGACCGAGATACCGGTATACGCATGCACGCACACGCACACGCACACGCACACGCACACACACACACGCACACACACGCACGCACGCACGCACGCACGCACGCACGCACGCACGCACGCACGCACGCACGCACGCGCGCGCGCACGCACGCACGCACGCGCGCACGCACGCACGCGCGCGCGACACACACATGCGCGCACACACATACACATACACACACACAACCTGTTCACGTCATTCTGTTTTGTTGGGACATGTGTGCTGGACCTTGTTTGTGGGTACACCACCAAAACGGGCCTATAATTAGTACAGTTTAACCCTGAAACTCCCCATTACAACTGATGAAGGCTTAATTCGGGCTTAGCCCCGCAAATATACCACAATCTTAACAGCGCGTACTGACACAAGAGAGATTTAGAGATGGTGTGAAAAATTTGGCTTAGGGGCACATTACTCATGCCCATATTTGGCACGTCCCCACATACCATGCCATTTACATTGTGTGTGTACACCAGTGAGACAGCCGTCCATAAGGGAAGATCGGGGAATCGAAATCACCGTAAAGCAGATGTCGTGTGGCAGCAGAAGCTAATGATAGACGGATCCCACAGCACCTGACTGATAAGCGAATGAACTTCCGGAAGCCCGAACAAAAAAAAAAAACTGAATGTCAATGTTCGTCTGGCAGCAGACACAGCGTTTGAGAGCGTTCTCCTCACCAATCAGATGCTGATCTGAGAACATGCAACACGTTGCAACGTGATAACATGTTGCCGGCAGGCGGGCGAGCCGACACAGCCGACCTGCCGATACAGCCGGCCTGGTCACGCTACAGCACGGCCCGGCTGCTCCAGTGAGCAGAGCCGACTGTCCGCTGGTGCACCGACAGCCACGCTCTGGACGGGCTCCTCTCTGGGACGTCACGGGATGACCGTAAAGTGGCCCACAGATCGCTGGCCCGTCTGTCATTCGATCGCATTCGCTGTCGGGAGCCGCTGTCGCTGACGCTGGGCAGTGCCTGGCCACCCTCTGCGGAGGCCTCGGGGTGCGCCGAGCGGGCGGAGCGCGCCGGCCATGAGCGCGCGTCCGCAGGTCCGGCCGCTCACCTTCTCGTACGTGTTGTTGTAGTACACGACGTAGTTGATGATGCCCCCCCTGGAGTACACGGGCCGCTCCCAGCTGAGGACGGCCGTTGTGGCGCCCTTCTCCACCACGTCCAGGCCGTTCGGCTGACTGGGCACTGCGGCGGTGAGCGCGTCCGGTCAGCCGCGCCGCACACGCCGCCCACGCCCGACCCCGCGGCCGACACAGCGGCCAGCACTGCGCCAGGTGGTCGCCATGGTCACCCACACAGCGGACCAGCCCGTCCACGGCGGCCCACTCGGAAGCAGCGTCAGCCCCACAGACGTGTGACATGTCAGACAACTCACAACTGCCCATTGTCTGAAGTCGCACCGGCCGACGCCCGCCCTCTCCGTCTGGCAGCGGGCCACAGGTTCGCCAGGTGACGAGGTGCCATGTCAGCGCTCCACCCGGCCGGTGTCACGGCCCCCTCCCGGGGCGGCAGACGCCAGCCATTACACCCGTTCAAACGCCATTGTCACGGCCGTAACCCGCAATAAGGCCCGATCTCCGGCGACTCTGGCGGCGCCGCCGCCGCCGCCGCCGCCGGCGGACCCAGGTGTGGAAGTAGCCGGCAGTCGGACCAGCCTTCGCAGCCAGTGGAGACCCGGAGCTAAGCTTACCACGCACTGCCAAATGAGGCTATTAAGTGGCGAAGAGGTTTCTGTCAACTTTAATTGACACAGTTCCGGAAGGTCCAAGAGGTACTCAATCTAATTGTTCATATAATCAAATATGGCTTCTTCTGGAGCACTGGTTCCGCTCAGACAGCCGGCCGAGCTTCAGGTTTCGTTAGCTCGCTGAAAGTCATCAGCGACTATAAAAAATCGACGCCGAAGATCCAGACTTGGAAACACCCTGCGGGCCTTTCCGACGGATTTGGACAATCGTAAAAGCATGTAGAACTGTGGAAGGCTCGAGGCAAAAGGGCATCGCCGTAATTTGATACATGCGCGTTTTCTACGGGTCCAATGCATCTCGCCGTGCCATTTTCCCTCGTCGATACAACGCACAACCTGACAAAATGCCGACAACACGCACCACACATCTGAGTTTCAATATCGCGACTGGTGATCTGCTGCCACACATGAAGCACCGGCCACGAGTCCACAGCACCCGGCCAGCCCTGTCCTGCCCTCGTGATTGGTGATCTGTTGTCGCACACGGAGCACCGGCCACGAGTCCACAGCACCCGGCCAGCCCTGTCCTGCCCTCGTGCTTGGTGATCTGTTGTCGCACACGGAGCACCGGCCACGAGTCCACAGCACCCGGCCAGCCCTGTCCTGCCCTCGTGATTGGTGATTTGTTGTCGCACACGGAGCACCGGCCACGAGTCCACAGCACCCGGCCAGCCCTCTCCTGACCGCATGCAGGCCCGCACGCAGGCCCGCACGACAGGCTGGAGAGAGAGAGCCCACAGACGATCTTGGAGCCGACAGCGGCTGGTGCATCACTTACCGCCCTGTTGCGTCTTGGCGCGTACCGGCACCGAAATGGGCCCGGGCCCGGCCAGCGTCTCGGCCTGTACACGGAGCGTGTAGATCTCGTGTGGGACCAGCCCGGAGAGGGTGGTGAGTGTGCCGCCGCCGGCGTACACCACCTCCGACTCCCACTGCTTCAGCGGCAGGTCGGGCGTCATCGTGAAGTAGACCTTGTAGCTGGTGATCTGCACGGCAGTTGGCAGCGTCATGACACCGCACCCATGATGATGCAGGAGCAGGAGCGACCACGCAGATCGCTATCCCAAATTCGGACAACACATCACGATAACAGCGCCGACACGGGTCAGCTGACAGCGCTCCCGGCTCACTCGCTGGGAACGGCAGCTTGCAGGCAGAGAGGAGCAAAACCAGGGAAGGCCTACGCCTCACCAGAGCACGAGACTCGCCCTTTTCGTCTCCGCCGTCACGGAGGCCTCCGTGTCTTGGAGAGCCGAGAGGCACTGGGGACAGGGACAGCGCACGGCATAGAGCACTCGGAACGGCACACTGTAAGCGGCTCAGCCGGCAGCCGGTTGCCAGCCGGTGACCAGCTGGTAGCCAGCCGGTGACCAGCCGGTGACCAGCCAGTGACCAGCCGGTGATCAGCCGGTGACCAGTCGGTGGCCAGCCGGTAGCTAGCCGGTGACCAGCCGGCGACCAGTCGGTGACCAGCCGGTGGCCAGCCGGTGACTAGCCGGTGATCAGCCGGTGGCCAGGCGGTGGCCAGCCGGTGGCCAGCCGGTGATCAGCCGGTGACCAGCTGGTGGCCAGCTGGTGGCCAGCCGGTGGCCAGTCGGTGGCCAGCCGGTGGCCAGCCGGTGACCAGCCGGTGACCAGCCGGTGACCAGCTGGTGACCAGCTGGTGACCAGCCGGTGACCAACCGGTGGACAGCCGGTGACCAGCCGGTGACCAGCCGGTGATCAGCCGGTGACCAGTCGGTGACCAGTCGGTGGCCAGCCGGTGGCCAGCCGGTGGCCAGCCGGTGGCCAGCCGGTGACCAGCCGGTGGCCAGTAGGTGGCGCCTGCGCGGCCGCGGCCGCCGGCCTCTCACCTGGACATTAGGCTTGTCGAGGCCGTCCCACATGACAACCAGCGTGCTGGAGCCCAGCGGCCGCACGCGCACGTTCTTGGGCGCCGAGCCGGGCTCTACAACAGACAGACAGACGCAACCGTCACACACCGAGCCTAAGCGGACGACGACGACCCAGCGGCGGATCACGCACGTCACAGCTGACGGCAGCTCGCCGAGCCGAGCCAGACTGCCGCTGGGACTCCTAGTCTGCCGCGCACGCAGGCAGGCACAGTCACCGAGCGGCGCCAAGGCCGGCCGGTGGGCCCATCTTGACCGCCGCCAGGTGCGCCCGTCACGCCGGCCAGTCGGCGCCGCCGCAATTTCAAGCACGCCGTCCGGAAACCGGATAGCAGCGGCGCACACGTGTCTTTTCAGGCGGGCGCGTGCCCGGACTGCCGTCCGCTGGCCGCCTCACGGGACGGCGGCTCCGGTCACCGGCCAAGTAGCCGGCCACGGCACCGAGAGCCGCAGCTGGCCACGGCACCGAGGGCCGCAGCTGGCCACGGCACCGAGGGCCGCAGCTGGCCACGGCACCGAGAGCCGCAGACGGCCACGGCACCGAGAGCCGCAGCTGGCTACGGCACCGAGAGCCGCAGCTGGCCACGGCACTGAGAGCTGCAGCTGGCCACGGCACCGAGAGCCGCAGCAGGCCACGGCTCCGAGAGCCGCAGACGGCCACGGCACCGAGAGCCGCAGACGGCCACGGCGCAGGCTCGGATTACACGCACCTCACGAGGGTTCGAAGCTGCGGTGTGATACTGCCCATCGCCTAAACACCCGCCGTTAAAACAGCACAGCGGGTTCAGTTTCAACGGCGCAACAGGTCCGCTTCGTGGTGCTCCGCTCCTACAGGTGTGCGATAATGTTGCACGCTTCCAGCACAGACAAACGCCGGCAACTGCGCTCTTTCGTCCGTTTCAAATTCATGCAGTCCATAGATACCAGGAAAGCAGCGTGAATAAAAGCGGCTGACAAACAGTACAGATGTGAAGTGCGCAGTAACACAAATGCAGACATTACACGCAATCGCAACAGAAACCATACCTCGAAATGTGGGCAACGCATTTCAGTGAAAACCCCAACCAACACACAATAATTCGTCGGCAGCGCCGAGTGGACACAGAGAGAGCAAAGAAAACAGCAACCGAAGACCAGAGAAAACACAAATCAACTTACGGGAGCCTCTGAAGGTTACCGGTGTGACGCGGGAGAGAAGACAATGACATTAGAGCCTGATCGGCGGCCGGTGCCGATCAAAGCCAGACGCGTTTGCGTGGCGCGCATGAGTAACACATCAGGTGGCAGGGCGGCGGCGGGTCACAGGTACACTGCTCTCGCTCTCTCGCTCTCTCGCTCTCGGGGGTCAGTGGGGAGGGAACACACTCCCGGCCGCGCCGCCGCCAGCCCGCCGACCGCAAATAAGGCGACGCGCCGCGGCTCGCGCTGACAGTGGCCGCCTGCTGATGCCACGCGCCGGTGGCCGTAATCGGCCCCCGACTAAGCCACGCCTGGCGGCCGGCCGGGTCGGTGGTGTCGTCTCCAGCCGGGCGCGCTCCGGCCGCCCAGCCGCCATCCAGACGCGACACCTCGCCGGTTGCACACATGCGTCCATAAACAACCCGACACATTACAGCGTTTTCAAACACCGCTGAGTCTCTGTCACAAATCCGCCACCCTGAAACCTAGGGCTACGAGTCATGATTCCGAGGAACAGGTTAATGGACGCCCTGACGAGACGACGGCGGTCCAGCCTGTCCATAATGAAGTCACGGAAACGGGTCCAGCACGGCACCACCGGCACCCATTAACACGCGTTTCCGAGCAGCTCGTCGACTCTGTGGCCGCTCCAACAGGTGTGTGGGCCAGCCCAGGTGCCCCTTCCCCTCCCCCTCCCTCGCTTCCAACACCCGACGGACGGGCGGCACGTGCAGTGTTAGCTGTTCCTGACTCGAATGTCGTAAACCAGGCGGCCGTCGTCGGTGTCGAGACTCTCCCCGCCCACCGGCGTGAGCGGTCCGGAGGCGCGTCAAGCCAGCCATCCCACACGCGCCCTCAGGGCTACACGTCCCACCTGCCTCCTTCCCCTCCCTCCCTCCGGCAGGCAGGCCGACAGAGCCCGCCCGAGGCTCACTTGTCAGGTGCGTGGTGACCTGGACGGGCGCGCTGGGTCGGCCGCGGCCCAAGTTGTTGACAGCGATCACGCGGAACTCGTACTCGGTGAACGGCGCCAGGTTGGGCACCACGTAGTGGAGCGCTATCACGCCGTTGATCTCCTGCGGCCGAGACACCGGCGTCATCAACGGAAGCAGCGCGCGGGCGCCACACACCGGCGCCATGTCGCCATGGTGCAGTATGGGCGCAGACACTCTGGACGTCACCACCGGCGCCATGTCGAGCGTGTCGAGCGCACACAAATATTGTCGTTACCAAGCTGGGAACTGTCAGTCGCGTCAAAGGAGTCAAACCTTCTCATGTCAGTGCTCGGGAATTCTGCAAACGCTCTTTAACGAATAGCTGCAAGCAGATGTTGTCACTTTATGAAATGTTTACCGTGGGGAACGCACCACTCCAACAAGCACCTTGCATCTAAGTGCCAGCCCATGTGCGGGAAAATAAAACACTTTTGTTGTATGATAAATGCACGCTTAATACACTGGATAACGTCACTAGCAGCCGGTGGCTTACGAACGCCAAACACGATGCCTGTGCCAGTCGGTATGAACAACACTCTGGCCACCCGCCGACTGACTGAACGTGTGGCACAGCCCGGCCTCATGCCCCGCCCTGTCCGCGCGCCGGCCTCACCTGCTGCCGATTGGACAAGCGCCACAGCCGCCCCGCCCCGTCCGCGCGCCGGCCTCACCTGCTGCCGACTGGACAAGCGCCACGGCCGCTCCGCCCGTTCGCGCGCCGGCCTCACCTGCTGCCGACTGGACAAGCGCCACAGTCGCCCCGCCCCGTCCGCGCGCCGGCCTCACCTGCTGCCGATCGAACGAGCGCCATAGCCGCTCCGCTCCGTTCGCGCGCCGGCCTCACCTGCTGCACACCGTACTTTTGGCTGTACTGGATGACGTAGTACTGGATGGTTTCCTGGTCCAGGTCATACGACCACGAGAGGCGGACCGCCTCCGAGGTCACGTCCAACACGCGCAGGTTTGTCGGCGGCCGCGGCAGCCCTGCGGGCCACATTCAGGCGACGTCACCGACACTGGTCACAGCGGGGCCGTCTGGTCCGCGCTCACACATCGCCTCGGCGTAGCGCTCGCCGCCGGCCAGCGCGGCGCGGCACCCGCAGCCCTCCTATCTTCGCCTGCCTGCAGCGCGTCACGCGTCGCACGCCTGCGAGACCGCGCCCGAACTTGAGGCGATTACTGGGTCTCAGTGAGCGGCAGTCTCTGGTTCGTACCTCACGTCCTGCCAGGAGGAGATCATCGAACGTCAAATGAAGGGTGCTGCGGCGACCCTCTCCTGAATTCCTTGTCACACTCCAGCGGCTCCTTAGCGCCCCTCACGGCTCCTGGTGTACCCATCTCCTGGCTAATGCGATGCGCTCCTTAGCTCCAATGGTGTCCTCCGGTTTCTACGGCACCCATCTCCCAGTTTCTCCGGCATCCGCCCTCCACCTGCAGCTGCTGCGCCCTTCTCTCGGTTCCTGTGGTACCCACGCCCGGCTCGTGCCGTGCCCGTGCTCCTGCGACGCCCCTCCCCCTGCCAGGCTCCTGGGCCCGTCAGCGAGTCGGCCTGACCCAGCCCGGGGGCAGGTGTCAGCGCCGGCCGTCGGCGAGGTCTTGCCGTGCTGTCTGCGGGGCTCTGGGGGCGTCTCGGCCGGATTTACGCCCGATGAGTTCATTGCCGCCAGCCGGCGCGCGGCGGCCAGGGAATCCTGTCAGCCCAGCCCGGCAGCGGCACGCTGCCGGGCTGGGCTGCATGGCCGCTCAGGTCCAGTGCGGCGGACACGACAGCAAACGTGCACAGCGCGGGACCGTTGATCAGCGAAAGCAAGGCGACCGAAAGCCAGCACAGCAGCCGGCAACCGGCGCAAACGTCACAGTGTGGGTGGAGCGGCCCGTTACGCACAAAACATCCCATTACGGACCCCATTACAGAAGTGGAGAAGTCTATTTGGGGCTGCCGCGCGTCCGGTGCGGTAAAACAGCCACGGCCGGCCTCATATAGCCGCACGAAGGTCGTGAGCACAGTCGCACCTGTCCGTCAGGAGCTAAAGCCCCGGGGCGTGAGCGGCTGTCCAGATACTCCGACATGCACGCCGTAGCTTGGACAACTGTGCTGCGCGCAATGGTCGGAAAATGAAGGGCAGTAAATACCATATCTACCTAGACAGTTATGGTGGAAGACTGTCGCAGGCCATTTCGCAGTTATTTCCCTACCGAGGCACGAACATCAACGTGCTCGGTTATATAGCTTTACACGAGAGCAATACTATGGGTCTCATTCGTAACTGAAGGGCCAGATGAAAAATAAAGGTGTATTGATACACAGCATTAATATTATACACACGTAATATTGGTACTGTTGTCACTACACCTTCTTTAGGTATGGTTCAACGAGGAAGAAGACCCAAAAAAACTATTTCATGCATGAGAAATGTTGCTCGCAGCTGCACTGAACAACCAAATATTGTATATACAAGTATGTTTCATTGTCATGTACTTTTGCTGATTCATGTATATTTGCTGAAATTTTGATGACTTACAACGGTTTGGAACTTCATTTTTACGACAGGCGTTGTTCTTCTATCTAATATGGGATGTTTTATCATCTCTTCTGTCGGCTGCTGCGGTAAAACCGTTACAAATAAGCCGCACAAGAATGCCTCCGTATATTTGATCATGAGCGAGATGGTCAAGCCACTACCCTACCCAGCCGTTATTCCAACCGGCCACCACCAGGAAATGTGCCGCATCTGGACAGGAGTCGCGCGACTAAATGTGACGTTCGCGTCGTGCGGCAGCAGCACCGACAGCGCGCTACTTAGACCGTATGGAGCGGGGCGGGCAGGCGACGGGCGCCGGTGCAGCGACCTCTCCAGCGAGGTGAGAGTGGTGCGCGCCGCCGGCAGCGGACGTCACGCCCCTCCTCAGCCGGTGCGGAGAGTCGGCCGGCGCTCGTCTCGGGCGGGCGTGACAGGGTGCCGGCAGAGCGGCGGCGCCGGCAGCCGGACCGGGGGCCGAGCCGGCGCCGTCGCATCTCCGCGTCCGTGTCGACTGAGGCTGCGACACCGACCGCAGCTGGGTCATACAGCCGCCGCCCGGGCATCGGGCGGCCGCGGTGTCAGCCGGCCGGTCTGTAGCGTCGTCTCTGCGGCCGGAGCGGCGACGTGCGACGGCATGCTCCCGCGGACCAGTGACGTTCGAGGCCCCGCACCGGGCGCGCGGAACTCGCCACCCACCAACGCTAAGGCGAATTATTCACTTGGGGTGCGGGACAGTGCAAAGTTAGTTGCCGCCGACGCACCTGGTGTCCGGTCCGCCCAGTCGGCGAGCGCTCCAAGACGACAGTATGTACCCCCGATTTGAACTCCGCCGCCCTCAGACTACCATAGTGGCCAGCGGCGAAAAGAGCTGCGCATCGTGGGACTACGTCACCAGTGGACACTCTGGGCACCCCGCGTCCGGTCGCAGCGGTGCTCAAGTCCGTTCTCGGAATCGGACGGGCTCTGCCGGGCACCCGTTTGGCCCGTCTGATGGCACATGCATGGTGTCGGGCTAGGTTACGGTCAGCTATTGGCCCGGCCGGCGCGATGACGTCGCAGCACTCTGCATGCCACGGCGCTCTACGGCAGAACGACCGACCGCCACGCAGCTCGTGTCACGGACACGCTGCAACGCCATGTGCACGTCTGCATACCAATTATACCCCGCCCACGTAAACCCGGCACCATGGAGATCAAAATTACTGACGGAGGTGGGCACGGACGGGCACGCACCACCCGTTTGACGACAGACGCTCGGACTAGTTACCGTCTGAGCCTCTGTAGAGCGCGACAAAAAAATAAAAATACGACGAGCACTGTCGGCGCGGACGGCATGGAAGGGCTTCAGCTCGCCTGCCACCGGCCCATCGGCCAGCGCGTACACGACAGGGCCGTGGCACGAGGTGCGTGCGCGCGCGGACCACGCCGGCCGGCCGGGCCGTGTTGTGTTTGGACCCGGTGCGGGACGAGACCGGGAGGTTTCCCCACATCGTGAAATCTGCGCGTAACGCCCCCACCCGGTTCCGCATGGTCTGAGGACGGAATGAATCATGACCGTCACCGGCTCTGGTCGTTCCCTGAACAACTCGCGTCAGCAGCGCGCTTAGCCTTTCATCTCGTTGCATTTGACATTTCGCTCGGCTCTTCCCCTGGGAGAGAGGCCCAAGGGGTCAGCTCCCGCCACGGCATCACGAGAGGACGGAGTTCCACCGCTGAGGTGGGCCGTCCTTCCCCTCCCCCCCCCCCCCCGTCACCACCCACCCTTGGCCTCCTCCCACCGGTGGGAACGTAGGCTCCCGGCTCGGGAACTACCGCCGACCACTGCTGCTCAGCCGTGATGTGGGGTTCCCCCAGCCTGCTAGATCCGACCCCGCACCCACGACATGCGGACGATCCCAGTCATCCTGCTACTCTTGCCGGGCGTCTGCTGTCTGTCCGCTGACGAGCACCCCGTGCATGGTAGTCTTCTGATGAGGCCCACTCTTCTGGACGGCTCTTGGCATGCCGACGGAGGAGCTTACGTTGGCTAACTTGTTTAGAAAAAACTGAGATAGTCAGCGGGGAAAACACACCGTGGCCAGAACTCCCCGAAGCAGAGCGAGGCGTCTGAATGGTCAGACATCAATGAGAAGCAAACGAAAGCAACAACGGGAAATACAAACGGGATGCAGCTCAGGCATGGAACGGGAACCAGTCGGACAGTGCGGCGCAAGATAGGCACCGCGACAGGAAGGAACAGCAACAGCGTGACTTGAAATGCATACATCATCCATCACATTCCAACCATTTATTTCACCCTGTTCCCCTGGGCGTGGCAGACTGGTTGGCAATCTACCCGAGCCCTCCCCCTGCCTCTTCCGCCCCTCCATCCCACTAGTATTACCTGACGCAGTCTTGGCCTCTGCAGCCACCTAGTGCAAACACTGGCACTGTCGCTGGCGGCGCGACCTCGCAAAAATACCCTTCCAGCACCGGGCGTGGGTGGACAGCCCACTGGCTCGGTGACGTCATCCCTCGGCCGGGCGCGGCGCCGCCGGCCACTGACGCTCACCTTGCACGCTGACCTGCGTCATGCTGGCCACCAAGCCGAGCTCGTTAGTGGCCACGCACGTGTAGTTGTTGGACTGACGCACGTTGCTGAGCACGAGGACCGAGCGGCCGATCGGGGCCGGCTCCTGCGGCCTCAGCTCGATGCCCGGCTCCTGGTGCAGCGGACATCCCCACGTCAGCGACGGCAGGGCGGCGCGGCCAGCGCCGCGCGGCGCACTCAGTATAGTGTCATGCATAACAGCGGCCAGCGAACAGTGCCAGGCCACCGCAGCCCGTCGCTGGCTGCTTCCACCCTACGCTGCATCGGTGGCGGCCCCCCGGGCCAGTTCGATGGTCTCAGTCTGCCCCGCCCCGGCCCACCCGCCTGATCCGGCCGACGCGATCGTCGCCAGCCGCCCTCTGGTGCGTCGGCGTCGGCCAGTCTCCGGGCGGTGCCGGTGGCCAGAAGCCCGGCCTGCGTCCGCACTGCCCGGACCCGGCGGGAGGGGGAGGGGGGAAGTGGGAGGGGGCGAACGATCGGTCGGCACTCACCTTGTGCCACCGGACGTGGGGCACGGGCGAGCCGACGGCCACGCAGGTAAGGTTCAGGTCCTCGCCGGCCAGCACTTCGTGCACCGCGTCCGGCAGGATGGTGAACGACGGCTTCGCGCGGCGCACTGGCGGCGCGGAAACACAGGTCAGTGGAGGACAACGGGCACAACCGAAGGCAGCTGTGCGGACACACCGGTCACAGCGACATGGCAAGCCAGGCAGGACCGTGCCCCAAGGACGGAGAGCGGTCACAGGGACACAGCAGGGTAAAGGAAAACGGAAATGAGCGTCGGGGGAGAGCCGGCGAATAGCTGGCGACTTATCCATGTGCCCCACATTGGCGACGGCTAGCTGTGCCCGAGAAATATTTGTAATCAAGCCATCAAGTGGCAAGTTGGCGCGTCGCAAAACAAAAACGCGCCCAGCACGACGCGTCGACACCAGCTCAGCGCATGTACTGCGCGAACGGAAATCCACTTGACACCCGATCACCACGGCCGCGACCCACACCAGGCCGCTCGCCGGCCTTCCATCAGTGGGCCCGGTGACCGAGCCGGCCTTCCATTAGCGGGCCCGGTGACCGAGCCGGCCTTCCATCAGTGGGCCCGGTGACCGAGCCGGCCTTCCATTAGCGGGCCCGGTGACCGAGCCGGCCTTCCATCAGCGGGCCCGGTGACCGAGCCGGCCTTCCATCAGCGGGCCCGGTGACCGAGCCGGCCTTCCATCAGCGGGCCCGGTGACCGAGTCGGCACTCGGCCGCTGCGGCCGTGACAAATACGCCCCGAAAGGTAGGCACCACACCTGGCCGGGGTGGCTCACCGAGCCCGGCATGCGCTCGCTAAACTTGCAGCGCATTATCCCGCCCGGCGGCGGCGCGCGGCAAGTTGACGCGCCACCCTTGGCCACTTATGTTCCAGTGGATCCGGAGCGAGCGGAGCAGTGAGGTGCCAGTCACCGGCCTGAGGAGGGCGCGCCGACGGGCGGGGACTCACAGCGCGCCGAAGCCGTCCGGTTCGGAGACGCGACGCGCCGTCCCACGGTGTGCCCCACACACCGCCCACCCGCACACGGTGCAAACGGTACAGACATGTGGCGGACGAACGCAGGGAAGGGCCACACCAGGGGGGGGGGGGGCAGGAATCCTACGAAAACTGACGCGAGGTGTAGAGGTGGTTGAATGGGGTGCAAACGCACGTCTTTGGGAAGAAGTGGTGTTCGTGAGAGGTGCAAGAGTCGGGATATCTCCGGCAGCGGCCAGCTTGTGGCACCAGCCGACCGTGCCCTGCTAACGAACGCTATTCTATGGACTGAGGTTCACCCGGCACACCAAACCGCGGCGACCAGCCGTGAAAGGAACACGGCCGACATCCGGCCATGCACCACGAAAACTCCGCTCTTCTCCTCGCCCCGGCATGCGCTGCCGTTGCTGCGGTGGTGGCGCCACATTTCGAACATGTCCTCATAAGACGTTATGAGATGGCCGCGGCCGGCCAGACGACTAAAGAGGGCCCGTGCTGCGCGGCCGGACAGCAGCCCTTCCCCTCGCTTCCCCCTACCCCCACCCCTCTCCTCCCTTCCTCAGGCGTCCAGACAACCGGACGTGGGGTCATGCCCCAGATGTCCGGGAAGTACCCACAGGGCAAATGACATCCAGAACTGTAGGACGACCCTCCCTCGATAATAAAGAGAAGACCCTATAACCCTATATGTAAGACGACCCTATATGATAAGGAATAGGTCATCCCGAGATAGATAATAAGGAGAAGGTCATCCCGAGAGCAAACAGACGTGCCAAACTGATTCATCTCAGCCCGGCTGTGGGACACGGCCGAGAAACGCATACACGCACAAGACGCGCACACGGTGGGTCATCGGTGACGCACATCCGTCATACATCCGTGTAAGAGCGACACTCATGCGTCGCTGCACATCCGTGTTCACCCCTGATGTAGACGGTGGCGTCGTTCGAGTAGACGGTGCCCTCGCCGTTCTCGGCGGCGCAGCGGTACTTGCCCTCGTCGGACTTCACAGAGTCATTGACGACCAAGTCACCTGGAAGAGGCGGCGCACATAAGCAGGGCCAATCGCTGCCCTCTGGCGCCGAGCCGGCACACCCTGCTTGAAGAAGAGGGGGACGGGTTGGCGTGCGGAGTTGCAATAGTGCCGCAACACAACATTTCAAAGTAGATAACATTGCTGTTGTATGAGCAAAAGTTGTACAAAAGGTAGATCTCAAAAACGCAAGTACCTATTTTGATACAAAACTAGAACTTCTATCCAACGGCAAACCCAAAACTCTGCTTGGCTTTACACCCCCACCGTGATTTGGTAGCGACTCTCTGTAGATCAGTAGAAGGAATTGCAAACTTCCATTTAATGCCCCTTTTGTGCGTTTTCATTCCGCATTCAGCTCGGATTTCTTGGTGGAAAATATGCCTTCTCTCCAATGCTGCCGGAGACTTGCGGAGCTGTGGATTTCCACGTGCCCAAGGAAATGTTTAGGATGGTGTTTGATGCCAGTGTTATACCCATTACACAATTTCCATTTTCATAGCTTCAAATGGAACTTTAATACGGGTAATATTAAAAAGAACATAGAGCTTATTTTCTGCCCGCAATATCTGATCATTTTACGTTATATGGATTTGTGCGTGTATGACATCATGCACTTTCATGTAATTTTTTCTTGTGTTCCAACGATTTTGGCGTGTCATTCAGAAACGTTAAATCGTAACGCATATGAGATGCTCTCTGTTTTCTCCGCCCCCCCCCCCCCCTGGCTATCGGCCCCGTCAGGCAAGGCCACTGTTGTTGTTGATTGTTGCGCGTCAGAACGTGGAGTGTCGTTGGTGGACGGTGGCTGCGTTAAACGTGTGCTGGTGAGCGGCAGCGGACCTGGGCACTGAGTGCATTGAAAGCAAAGGTCGTGGCCGATATGATGAAAATAGCCGGCTGAAGCTCGCGAGCATTGTCCCTCGTCTACTTGAGGCGCGTGTGGCACCCGATGCTGTCGAAGCTTCGGGAGCGGCTCGTTTCCATCTCACGTTGCACGCAGAGAACAATTTTTACAGCATTTCCGCTGTGTATCATGGAGAATAAAATGTCTTGGCGGCCGAAAACGCTAAGAAACACCCAACTTTCAGACACCGCATGCACCTCAATCCATCTTAATTCATCTGACGTCATCACATGCACTTTATGTCATCTGACGTGACAACATGCACCTCAAGTCCTCTGACGTGATCACATGCACCTCAAATCATCTGACGTCATCACGTGCACCTCAAGTCATCTGACGTCATCACATGCGTTTTAAGTCATCTGACGTGATCACATGCACCTCAAAATTACCTGACGTCATCACGTGCACCTCAGGTCATCTGCCGTCATTACGTGCACCTCGTCATCTGACGTCATCACGCGCACCTCAGGTCATCTGCCGTCATTACGTGCACCTCAAGTCATCTGACGTCACCACATGGGTTTTAAGTCATCCGACGTGATCATATGCACCTCAAATTACCTGACGTCATCACGCGCACCTCAGGTCATCTGCCGTCATTACGTGCACCTCAAGTCATCTGACGTCATCACGCGCACCTCAGGTCATCTGCCGTCATAAAATGTCCCTTAAGTTATCTAAATGTTCGCTATATGTAATGTTCAGTCGTCTTAAATGAATAAACACAACGCATGCAAGTATCCGCAGAGGCATGCTTGCAACATGTAAGATGTAATACGTAACTTGTAACAACATGCAACATTTTATATCTCAACTGATATCTAGTACATAACATGCTTTCCGTGTCGGTTATGTGCAACCGCAGTGCGTCCATGTAAAACATATTATCTAAATATGCAAGCAAACACATAGCTACAGGACGACGGCAAACCTTTTGGAGACTGAGACGAACGTCAGACCTGCACAGATCTTGCCCACGGTCGCATGGGCGCGACGCAGAAAGCAGGACACGCCAATGTGAGCAGCGTTACAATGCCAGAGTCGCCTCAGTGACGTCACATGTCATCAGCCGCGCGCCGGCCTCACTCGCGGTGTAGCCGGCACCAACGAACGACAGCTGTCCACTTGCGCCGCCGCCGCCACGCACGCCACGCTGTCGCGTCAGCGGAAAGCGCCGTTTTGCATCCAGACCCCGAGCGGAGCGCTCCGTGGCTGCGCCAAAGCACGGCAAGGAAGCCTTTGCAGCCTCTCAATGCAGCCTTTGAGCGGCGCGGGAGCGACCTCCGCCGGTGCGGGGAGCGACCTCCGCCGGCGCGCCGAGCGAGCCGCGGTCGGCTCAAAGCGAAATGGCGCGGCCGGCGCCGGCCGGCAGGCAGACATTATTTGATCATTAGAGACCGGCGAAATTCAGATCCACGCACACGCGTTTGCACGCAGGTTCGAGCGGGCGGCTCCGGTTTTCATTCTGCGAGCGCGGTGGGCGACTTCGAACGGCCAGGCCCGGCGCGCACAATATGGATATAAAATGGAGTAAGAAAGGAAGTCAAGAAACCTAAGGGGAGACAGGGAGGGAGTGATGTGAGGAACATGTACATACAGATGAAGTACGGCTCTGTTCGAGCTGAGATCTCAGGAAGTGCGCCAGGTGAGCAGGAAGTCTGTGCGCATTGGGAGTCGTGCTCACCCTGCTCAGGTGAGCAGGGAGTCTCAGATTGACCCCAGGTGAGCAGGAAGTCTCAGACTGACCCCAGGCCGCTCGAGACAAAGCCGATAAAGCCTACAAGGCTCGACCGACAGCCCAAAGGCTCCCGACTCGGCACGGCTGCCTGCTGTCTGCGGCGTCGGGCTCAGGCCGCGGCCGTGAGGCTGGTCAGCGCCGCGTCGGTCCGACCCAGCCCAGCCAGCTCGAACCGTCCGTGTGCCTCCCGACCCGCGGGAGCGGGAGCACCCGTCGTCGAGCACGGGCGCAAACAGCGCGTCCCGGCCGCGCTAACCACGCCGAATCAACGCTCAAGACACGCCGTCACGAAATCGACGCGGTAATAGCCGGGCATTAGCTGGCTCCCACCCGCCGCGCACCTCGTAAAGCGGAATTACGAGCGTGGCGCGGCGCGTTGAGGGGCCACTCACCAAATCATCACAGCCATTAACAGAATAGCTGTCAAAGTATGAATACGGGAAGCATGGATTCGCATTATTGCAGCCAACCATGCAGCCAAAACCTGCCACGGCCATTCACAAACTGGCGAGTTGTCCCGTTACGGAGAGAAGTTAGTTGACGGCAGCACTACACCAAAACAGGGATTAAGGCCTCCACAACCTACATCCCTGCGCCTATAAATGTTCGGAAATAGTGGACCGCGTATCAAGCGGTACCCGGCGCAAGTGCCATAGATGGCGTCATGGCACGGCCAGACGTGCATTCCAGGAAGCCGATCGACTGAATGCCTGCAGCCAGGCTCAGTACACGACCTTCCGCTGTTGGGTTGGTAGAGACAGTCAGGCTCAGTCCCCCGGCCGCCGGCGGCAGCCAACTCACCTCTGTTGGGCCGGTCGCGGAGCACGAAGCGGCCGCTGGACGTGTTGATAGGCACATCGTTCATAAACCAGCGCACGGTGGGCTCCGGGTCGCCGGTGGCCTTGCAGTTGACGACAAAGTCGTGACCCTTCTCCACCAGCTGCGGCGTCGGATGCTGGATGATGCGTGGAAAGCCGGGCGGCCGATGCGTTTCTGGAGGAGCGGGGCCGCGCGGTCAGACGCGCCGCCGCTGCGAGTGTCACGCGGCCGGCCGGGGCGCCGGCGTTGGCACCGACGCGGACACCGATCCTGGTGCCGACACTCGTGCCGACACCGACAATGGTGTTGAGACTAACGTCCCGACGACACCGACGATGACATCGGCGCTGTCACCACCGCCGACACCGATGCTGACCTCTGCGTTGACACGACATGGCCGGACACCGCTGCGGGCCGGGCTTCGCCTCGCAACGCCAGCTTCAGCGCGTTAAAAAAAACACCCACCCACACCCACGCACGCGCGCACGCGCGCACGCACGAACACACACCACACAAACCACACACACACACACACACACACGCACGCACGCACGCACGCACGCACGCACACGCACGCACGCACGCACACGCACACATACGCACACACACACACACACACACACACACACACATACACGCACACAGGTCAAGAGGCACGTGAAAACGTGCGGTGTGCTCACGAACGGGCACTCAGGGGATGTAAGCGGGTTTTCGCCACCAACGTGCCTCCATGTCAGAGCCACACCCCAACAAGTTTTGCGCTGAACCGCTGCACGGCTTGACGCGTCAATCACCCAAGTAGTTAGCAAACAAGTTCATTTTAAAAAGTCCGAATTCCCATTCAACCCCAACTATCAGCTCCCCTACACGCGTCACCGCCTGACCCCGCCGGCACGAAACCCGTGATGGCACGCCGTCTGTCGCCACTGCTGTTCTTTCCAATGATCCATCCTCTAGCTGCGGTGCGGCTCCTCCTGTCCCTCTTCCCGCGCCGTCCTCCATCCGCGGGGCGACCCCCCACAGCATCCTCTTTCGACCTTTCCGCCCGCACCGAAAGAACCAACTGAAAATGAGCGAAATATCGCTGACCGTCGGCCATTGCAACACTATGATTTCCAGTCTTCCGCCCGCGCCAAGTGAATGAACGGCATACGACTAAGTTCGTGTGTTTACCTGCGTTTTACTTGAATTCCTCGGCGGCGGCGACTGGGCGATCAATCGGTGGTGTTTCCACGTCGCAAAAAATCATGTTGTAGTATTTTGGGTAAAGTTGATGTTAAGGCGAAAACGTGGTTTAAAAATGGGTGGTAATTAGAGTCAATGAATCAGTGCATGCGGTGATGTGAATTCCGCCGCGATCGTGGCGACGGTTTCGACGACGGCGTGTTGTATTTGGCCCGTATTTACAAATCCTGACATTTCAGGCTTGCACGACGAATTCCGGTGCAACAGTGCGTCGCACAATTTCGTGTTGATCACCTGAAATGTAGCTGGTACGCGGGTCGACGCCTTGAAACTGGATTCGTGTCTTCACCGGCTCCGGTTGCCGAGCGGTGGCGTAAAACGTGAAAAACGTTCAAAAACGAGAAGATCCGTTTTTACAGCCACCGTGCACGTGACACGTGGCACGTGCAGTGCCACATGTCACGTCAAGCAATTTCCTGTGGAACGCTCTGTCGAAGAGTGTTGATTGCGCGTCGCTCCGACCGGCAGTTGCCGAGATGCGGCGACCGTTTTGAACGGCCGTTTGCCGGTTTTTAGCAAGGCCGCTTTTTTGCGCCACCCACGCTAAGCCAATGGGCCAAAAATGCCCCTTGCAACATGTGCCACGCGCGATCTGTTAACCCCACCGCTACGAAACTCGCATCACGTCAAAGTTTCACCCATAAGCGTCCCGCCGTTTGACCTCCACCCGCGTCAACGTAAAAAGACGGCCCATAGACAGAGAGAGACAGACAGAGACAGAGACAGAGACAGAGACAGAGACAGAGACAGAGACAGAGACAGAGACAGAGACAGAGACAGAGACAGAGACAGAGACAGAGACAGAGACAGAGACAGAGACAGAGACAGAGACAGAGACAGAGACAGAGACAGAGACAGAGACAGAGACAGAGACAGAGACAGAGACAGAGACAGAGACAGAGACAGAGACAGAGACAGAGACAGAGACAGAGACAGAGACAGAGACAGAGACAGAGACAGAGACAGAGACAGAGACAGAGACAGAGACAGAGACAGAGACAGAGACAGAGACAGAGACAGAGACAGAGACAGAGACAGACAGACAGACAGACAGACAGACAGACAGACAGACAGACAGACAGACAGACAGACAGACAGACAGACAACAGACAGACAGACAGACAGACGAGACAGACAGACAGACAGACAGACAGACAAACAGACAGACAAACGACAGACAGACAGACAGACAGACAGACAGACAGACAAAACAGACAGACAAACAGACAGACAACAGACAGACAGACAGACAGACAGACAGACAGACAGACAGACAGACAGACAGACAACAGACAGACAGACAGACAGACAGACGACAGACAGACAGACAAACAGACAGACAAACAGACAGACAGACAGACAGACAGACAGACAGACGACAGACAGACAAACAGACAGACAGATAGACAGACGCACCCTACACAAACAGTATCATAGACAAGTAAGACCTGTCGTCCTTTGGCCAGCGACCCGAGACACCCTTTGGCCCTAACAGCTTCCCTACACACGCCACCCACTGACCCCACCGGCACGAAACCCGCTATGGCACGCCGTCTCTCGCCAGTGCTGTTCTTTCTCCTGATCCGTCCTCTAGCTGCGGTTTGGCTCCTCCTCCTGCCCTCTTTCTGCGCCGTCCTCCATCTGCGGAGCGACCCCTACTCAGATCCTCTGCCGACCCTCCCGCCTCCACCGAAGCCATGAACGGAGAATGAATGGAATACTGCGGACTTTCGGCCATCACGGCGCGGAAATTTCAATTACTCCGCCCGCGTTAAATGAATGAACGGCAGACGAATACGCACGCGCGTTTTCTGCGTTTTACTTGAATTACTCGGCGGCGGAGACCGGGTGGTCGATCGGCGGCATTCCGACGTCGCGTAAAGGCGATATTCCGACGGCGATATTGTGGCTCTTTAGGTAAAGTGGATGTCTCAGCGAAAAAGTGCATATGGCGATTAAGAAATGGGTGGTAATTGGAGCCAATGCATCCGTGCGTGCGGTGCGGTAAATTTCGCCGCGATCATGATGCCCGATTCGACGCCGGCGTGTTGCATTTGGCCCCGTTTTTTTCCGAATCCCGACATGTCCGGCTTGCACGCCGACTACCGGCGCAACGGTACGTCGCATATTATCGTGTTGGGCACGCCAAATGTAGCCGGTACACGGGTGGACGCTTTGAAATCGGATTCACGCCTCCAACGTCTTCCGTTACCGAGCGGTGGCGTAAAACGTGAAAAACAATCGAAAACGGGGAAAATCTGTCTTCCCCGCCGTTGCGCACGTGGCACGTGCAATGCCAAACGTGACATCACGCGATTCCCCGTTGTACGCTCTGTCGAAGGGTGTTGACTTCGCGTTGCTCCGACCGGCAGTTACCGAGATGCGGCCGCGGCTTCGAAAGGCCGCGCGCCGATTTTTGTTGAGGTCGCTTTTTCGCCCCGCCCGTGCTAAGCCAATGGGCCAAAAAACGCGCATTCAAACACGCGCCACGCGCCACCCGTCGACCCCATGGGCGCGAAACTCGCCTCAACACATCACCACGTGCGCACGTGCATCGTGTCAAAATGCCACGCAGAAGCGACCCACCGTTTGATCTACACCCTTGTCAATGCCAAAAGACGACCCACAGACGGACAGACAGACGGACAGACGCCCTCTACGCAAATAGTGTTATATATTTTGGAACACGGGAATGCTCATCTCATGGAAATGGGGGTCTTCTTTTGGCCATGATCATGAAAAACGGCCTGCCCGGCGACTTCAGCGGCTATGGCGACACATTACCCAAACGTCGGTCGGTTAATGTATCAGATTGCATCGTTATCATCACAAGTAGCGCGGTAGCAGCATTTTGAAAACTGAACGTGCTGCGCAACGTTTTCACTCAGCCGCAGGGCACGAGCGTCAGCACATGGGATGCCTTGACTGTGCGGCGTTCACTGTGTACACGTTCATGATTGATGGCTGACGTAATAGCTGAGTGTTCTCCCCTCCCCTACCCCCCCCCCCCCCCCCGCGCGCCCGGTTTTGCTAATCTATGTCAGCTGACCCTAACCGGCACTGCACATGTTCCGACAGTACACAAAACAACGGCAGCAAGAGCAAGGGCGATGTGTGTGGCCCCGCAGCGCGGCTGTACAGGCCGTACTGAGACGCGCGCCAGACCAGCGACCGGCCCTGCCACCAGGCCGCAGCGGCCAGCGTTCCGCAGCATGGCGGCATGACTTCGCGGGCATTCGGCCTCAAAGCGCGGCCGTTACTGCTTATGAAACCAATTTGCATTCGACAACCGCATCCCTCCTTGGGAGTGGCGCCGCGCACGGCAAATAGCGCGTCCTATACCGCGCGAGGGGACGGCCGAGTACGCCTTCCGTTGTTCGGCGTCCAATACCACCGGGTCCAATACCACCGGCAGCAGGATCGGTCTCTGATCCTGTGCCGACGCTGGAATCAAAGTGCCGCCCACCCGGCGCACAAAGAGCCATCGCTTCATAGCTCTCGAGGTTCCTATCGAGGACACTCGGCCGCAGGTACATTCAGCGACCATTAGCAAGGGAACCGCCGCCGGCTGTCAAGGCCGAAATATCAAATAGCCGCCGGCACTCGGCCTTTCACTCCTGGTAGTAACCACCACCAATTTCCTCGAACAGTGCCTGTTCCCTCCTCACCTTATACCGGCCACACGTCGACCTCGCTGCCCCCCCCCCCCCCCATGTTTTGCCGACCTCTCGCCGCCCACGCCCGCCACCCTCGAGGAGCGCTCTTCCTTGCAGAATGCACTTTAGCAGGCTTTCTTTAGGGCGACGAGCGCTTTCCCGGCCAGGTTTAAGTTAGAGCCTGACAGGCCTGACTCATTTACTCCCAAATCGAATAAACAGGCTGCTGAGAGGGCGGCTGCGCGCCGGCTAGATTGGCCGGCTCGGTGCACG